TTGTATTGATGAGGGTGTTTTTCACACTACTGCACTCGTTCCTGGCAGCACAGAGCTTTGGGGGCAGTGGGAAAGCTCTCAGCCTCCCAGCGGTGAGGTGTCTGAGCCCCAGCAGGGATGGGGTGTTGGGCAAATTCCTGAAGTGAGAGGCTGTACGGAGGGGATGCAGAGAACAGTGTGATCATCTCTCTCCTGGCAGTATGGCAAGGCGAAACAGATCTACCTGCAAGCCTGCAAGAGCTCTGCATCCTGTCTCACCTGGCTGGGAGTGGGGATTGCCTGCTATAGGGTAAGTGCTGTTAGGTGTGAGATCCCAAGTTCACATCATCTGTGCTGTGTCTGGTTCTGTGGGCAAGGCTTGCTTTTATTCGATGCTTAAGTCTGTGGAACCGATGCTCTTGGAAGCTGTCATGTGCTGTGCACTGTCATGGTCACAGGGTGGCACCCTGGGCTGCTTGTATGGGAGGTGGAAAATAGAACAGTCAGCCTCAGCACTGCACCAGGGGCAGCGTCCCTGCCCTCCTTGTCCCACTGCCAGGGCCCTCAGCCCCAGGATGTCATGGCATGCACATCATCTGGGCCTGGGCTCTGCCCCGAGTGCCTGCCTGCACATGACCTGCATAGGGTTTGATTTTTTTGGGTGGTCCTGTGTGGAGCCAGGAGTTGGACTTGATGATCTTTGCGGGTCCCTTCCAACTTGGATATTTCTTAACTTGATGCACATCAGCACAAAGGATTGAGCAGGCTGTCAGCAGTGAGGAATCTCGGTGCTTTCCCTGCCCAGAGGAATCCAGCACCTCTGAAGGGTTGCCAAGGACACCCAGACACAGCCACCAGCAGCGCAGTGTCTCCCAAGGGTACACTTTGCATGCTCCCTCCAAAGGGATTTGGCTGAAAGAACCAAACAGAGGAACTCAAGCTCTTCTGTTTCCCCTTTGGACAAATGTAAGCCTCCCACGAAGATGCAGACCCCAAAAACAAGGGAGCTGAATGGTGTCCTGGGAGCTGGCTGCAGCCCCTCCTGCCTCCAGGGAGCCTCTGTGGGAAGAGGCATCAGGACCAGAGTCATGTTTTGAATGATGCATGCACGCCAGCAGGTCCTGAGAGCTCATGATGGGGCTGGACTGCTTGGTTTCTGCAGACAAAGGTGTCAGTACCCAGTCTGTTGGTTTCCTCCTGCCCCTGCCTCCCTGTCAGGGCAGCTCAGTGCCAGCAGTCATGCTGAATGCTTCATCTATAGTGTTTTTTTGGCTGTTAGAACAGGTGCCTGCTCAGTTGTGAAGCCATTTCTGTCTGCTGTTTGTCTTTTCTTACACCTCTCTTCTTTCCCCCTCAAGCTGGAAGAGATGGTGGAAGCAGAGGATGCTCTCTCTGAAGCCAATGCCCTGAATAACAGCAATGCTGAAGTGTGGGCTTACCTGGCCCTTGTCTGCTTGCAGGTGAGTGCCCAGCCAGCTCCTCAAGGGAGCCTGAAGAACACCGTGTCCATCCCAGGGCTACAAATGGCTGGGGGAGCAGTCACTGCAGTGCTCAGGTGGCACAAGCAGCACCATCAGTGCTTGCTGGGACCTCCCTGAGCCCACTCCTTCCCCCTTCCCCTCTCCGCTGTGTTGCAGGGAGGGCGGCAGCTGGAGGCAGAGCAGTGCTACAAATACGCCACCAAGGTGAGTGTGGGCACCAAACTCTCATCCTTCCATGTGTGATGAGAGCGTGGGCTATTTCTTTTGGTCGCTCTAAGCTGGTTCTGCTAAGGGCAGAGCATGGAGGGAGCCATTCTCATTCCTTGTGGGGGTTCTGGGGAGGATCTCAGCACTCGTGCTGAGATGCACTTTCCCTGTGATTTGCAGAATCAATCTCTATAACCCCCCTTTTCTTGAACCTAGCAAATTCTGTTTTGCTAGATTACTCCATTCGGGAAAAGGGAAGTTTTGAAATAAGTTTCTACTTTCTGCCTTAGCTTGTGCTTTTTCCATTCCTCATCCCCATAAGTTTTGCATATCTGTAATATGCATCTCATCACAATGCACGTTTAAATGAGCACGATTGTTATAATAATACAGGCCACAAAGAGTTGCTTTAGCCACTCAAAATTAGGTAACCAACTGGGGAGCCGTTCCCATAACTCTGTAAACCCAAACGAGGTGTCATGCATCAATACCTAATGAAGCAGTCTAGAGTGCTCTCGTATGGCTTGTGGGTCCGTCTCGACTTTCTGAGTCCTGTCTACATAAGCACAACAGCTCTGATTAATTATCACACAAACTCCTCCCTCTGTAGCCGTTCGGAGGTCCAGAGCCATTCTGTTTTGCAGCACTGCTTTACTAAGCATCAAAACCTCTATTTGTGATGACCTCATTGCATCAGCAGCTGCATTTTCTATTATTTCTAAGGTGGTTGAAATATTAACGATCGCCTTCTCCAGTTCACTTACCCCAAGCAAACCATCTAACAAAGCTATTGAACCCGGCAGGCTTTTCTACCACAGGGTTTGATGCCCTCTTCACTCATTTCCGTGGGGTTCTCAGAACTCCTGTTGGGGCTTTGGTACAGTTATGTATGGAGACGTATGGTGTCAGTGCCCCCAGCGTACAAGGGCCCCTCCAACTCTGTGGTGACCATTTCCTAGCACGTCTATCTCCACGCAGCCACCACGGCCCAGCAGGGGTACATCCAAAATGGAACCAGGAACTGTGGTTTAACGCTGTCACCACTGGGAGGGGGCACCGCTCATCCCCTGGACATTTGGTGGCATTTACATTGTGAAATTCCCCCATACTCACTTCCCTTTTTCCAGGACTAAAGCTTCCCAGGGTGGTGCTTGTAACTCGTAACTGGGAAAGGTGCTGTTCTTATAACATACATGCTCAGGGACTGGGCTCTGTGGGGAAGGCAGTGGTGGGTTGTCATCCCCCAGCACAGTGTTTCTCCACTGGGGAGTTTAGTTTCGGACTGTCGCAGCAAACATTTCCCTTCTGGTACCTTCCAGCATATTGTGTCATTCCCAGAAAGAGGCTTAACCTAGAAATTGTCATATGGCCAGCTCCAATTTGAATAAGGAATGGGAATTCCCATTAAGGGAAGCTCCATTTTCCCATTCCTGGGCATTGCTGTACAAACCCAGCAGTTCATCAGATTGAGACTCTGGGCCATTGCCTGGGTGACATTCAGGTAGCTGTTATCCTTCCACGCTGCAGCAATTCCTAGCAGGTTATCACACACAGCTTACACATTCTTCTTAAGAGTTGGCCAAAAAGGTCCTTTCTTCTCTGCTGTCACTGGCTCTAGGTACCTTCTTTAGTCAGGTAGAGTGGATCCGTGGTGTCAGCCCTCCAGCTTGGTGCAGTTACAAGTCCTGGCTGTGGTCCTTCCCACCGCAGTTCCAGTGGAGAATCTGAGAGGGATTTAACACACACATGATCTCCACGTAACGCGTGGTGCAGCAGGCTATCCACGCCCCGTGCTCTAGTATCAAACACAGCCTTTTCAACGTTTCTCAATTGTTTCTGTGAGCTAATTACATATCTGCTCAAAGTTCCTCACCGATTTGCTCCAAAGTACCCTTCTGCACAGGGCACCGTCTGCCATCAAGGCTTTCAAATGGACTCCGTCCTTCCTTGGTTTGGGGTTTAGTCTGAATTCTTAAAAGTGCCATAGGCAGTGCCTGTGGCCGTGGGATCCCGGCCTCTTGGCCAAGCTTTATTATTTGCAACTGGATCGTTTGGCTCATCTTTCCCACTCGGCCACCACCAGGTGTGTGTAACTGCCAATCCATCCCAATAGCGTGCTGATCTGCTCAATTTCGTATCCGTAACGATACAAGTTGCTGAATGCCTATTTCTGAGGCCGGGTCTGGGGAAGTTTGTTCCCTCATCGTGTCCCTTAACCTATCCAGAAATTCTGAAGGAGTTTCCTTCAGGTTTTGCCTTCCTGCATATGATGCAGCCCAGTTAACTGTCTTGGGGATAGCTCTTTCCATTCCTTAGATCACCCATTCCTGGTAAGATAGCAGATGATCCCTTCCCCCTGTAGTTTCCGGGTCCCAGTGAGCATCCTGCCTTGGAAAATGATCCTCGATGTCTTCATGCCTTCCCCAGATATCATTCTCAGCTAGATCCTGTGCCACCTTTAAAACCAGGTCCCTTTCCATCTCAGTCATGGAACCTAACAGCAGCTGGATAGCACTCCAGCCTGGGTTATGCTGTAAAACCAGGTACCTGAAGCGACCAGCTACTCCTACTGGATCACTACGATAATCCTTAACTATCTTCCTCCAGCTCTCTAAATCATATGACGAGAATGGAACTTTAATTGTGCCCCATCTGTCCCCCGTTTCTTCCTGGTCCTGGCTGCTACAGCGAATCAGCTGGGGTTTCCGCTGAAGAAAGGCTATCCCTCCCCCAGCGATCTTAGCGATCTTCCTCTCTCCTCTCGGGGTCCCCTACCCAGGGACCAGCCCGGTCGTGGTCTAAAAGATCCTCTGGCTCCAATTTTCTCGTGAGCTTCGTACATCTCTGCCCTGTGCTGCAGGCGGAACAGCCTCAGCTTCCCATCACCTATTATTCCTCGGCGATCTTTTTCTCATGCTAATCCTAGTGGGTCTTGCGGAGCTCCCATCCCACTTTTGCCACTCGGGATGGTTTGGCAGACTAAAGGACATTTAATCACTTCGTTTTGTCATCCCCTAACTCACCCGCAGCTCGGCTTGGACGACTCGACCCTGCTGCAGGAGCTCCACGCCGCCCAGCAGCGCTTCGGCTTCGGCGACCCGTCCTTCTGAGCGGGGCGGTGACGCGTGGTTCCGGCGCAATGCCATTACAGCCGTTACCGTTAACTCCCGGCTCCCGCTCCTTCCTGCGTCCCCGTTACCGCGGGCTCACGGTCACACGTGGGTGCGCCGAAAGCTGCGGGAGCGCGGCGCCCCCTATCGGCTCGGAGGCCCCGCGGGAAGGGCACCACGTGACGTGCTCCCGAAAGGGGGGCGTGGCTTCGCGGCATGCGGGCGCGGATTGGCGGCGGGCGCGCGGGACGGTTGAGCCATGGCGGCGGGTAGCGGCGGAGGGACGGGGCTGGGGGCCGCTGAGACACCTTGGGGACGGGGGATGGGGACGCTGGGATGGGAACGCTGGGATGGGAACGCTGGGATAGGGCTGGAGGGCCGTGGGGACGTAAATACGCGGCGGGATAGGGATTGGGTGGAGAATGGGGACACCAGGATGCAGTGGGATAAGGATGGATGGGAATGGGGACACAGTGGGATAGAGTTGGGGTGGAATGGGGACGCAGAGACACGCTGGGATGGGGCTGGGGGCACTGGGACACATCGAGACGAGCCTGGAGGGCTGTGGGACACCGGAACAGGGTTGGGGGTACCAGGGGCAATGGGATACGCTGGGACAGACCCGGGGTGGAGTGCTTGGGGGCACCGGGCACACCGGGACAGGGCTGGGGGGTGTTGGGACGGGGCTGGAGGGGTTGGGATGGGGCTGGGGAGCACCGGGAGGATGCTAGGGCAGTGGGGATGTTGACACAACGCTGGGGAAGAGGGGGGGAGGTCACGATGGTGTCCTGTGCACTGCATCCTCCACGCATCACCTCCCTGCAGCATGGCAGAGCCCCTACCTGAACATCTTCAAGCATTTCCGTGTGGAGGAATGGAAGCGCTCCCACAAGGAGGGAGATGTCACCACTGTGATGGTAACGAAGGTGCCAGGGATGGCTCTTACCCAGGGTGGGCAGCAGAACCCCATCATGCTGTGCTCCTGCAGGACAAGACGCTGAAGGGCACGGTGTATCGCATCCGGGGCTCCATCCCTGCCAGCAACTACCTGCAGCTGCCCCGCACTGGTTCCCAGTCTCTGGGGCTGTGTGGCCGTTATCTCTACCTGCTGTTCCGGCCCCTGCCCCGCAAGTACTTCGTGGTGCACCTGGATGTGGCTACTGAGGTGTGTGGGGGTGCGGGGTGGGTGTCCTGGGGGGACTGGGTCCTGGTGGGAGCTGCAGAAGGGGTTTAAGGAGGTGACAGAGCCCTGTGCTCCTTTAGGGGCCACTGTGGCTGCTATCCAGCCCCTAACAGGGGCTGCAGGGAAGCTGGAGGGGTTGTGAGGTCCCTCCCAAACCTGCAGGGTGAGTGATGTGCTCCCATCTGTCCCCAGGAGAACCTGGTGGTGCGCGTCTCCTTCTCCAACCTGTTCAAAGAGTTCAAATCCACGGCCACGTGGCTGCAGTTCCCCTTCATCTGTGGGGCAGCCAAGGGTTCGCTGCGTGACAGCACAGCCAGGGCTTCCAGGCAAGGTAAGAGGTGGCCAAAGCGAATTATTAGAAAATCAGTGGGGTTTGGAAGTGGAGTGGTGTGGGTGAGGAGATTTGAGGGGGAACCCAGCATCCCTCCTGCAGCTCACAGCGGTGGGTGAGGTGAGTTTCCTGATCTCACATCTGCTCTAGTTGGGAGCAGAGAGGTTGAGCGTGGGGGAGATGTTGAGCAGGCAATAGTTTTCACTTGAGGTGTGGAGTTGTTTGGGGCTTTTTTCTTTATGCTGCAGAGGGACTCTGAGGAGCTGGGAGGTTGGGGCCCTAAGGGGCTTTGTGCACTGTGGCATTTCCATTGCTGCAGCCAGACTAACACAGCGCAGCCCCAAACTGGCTGTGTGTGCTGGTGGGGCTGGAGGAGCAGAGTGGGGATGGGACGGATGGGGCACAGCTGTGCCGTGTGTGTGCCACCCACCTCGTGTCTCCTGCTTTGCACAAATTCTGCTGTACCTGTTAAGGTTCTTTGTCTGCAGACCTGGTGGGAGCAGCCCCTGCCAACGCACGCTGGACCTGCCTGGTGCTTGACCTGCACTATGTGCTCTCCCTGTACCTGAGCCGGCGGTACAGCCACCTGAGGAGCATCAAGCTCTGCTCCAACCTGCTGGTCAAAAACGTCTGCACGAGCGACTTGCTGTTTGAGCCAGGTGGGGAGCTGAGACCCTGTGAGATTTCAACCAAGCCTGGTTGTACTAAAAGCTGCTTTTAGAGCCCTAAGTGCAGCAGGGCCACTGCCTCTGGCTGAGCAGCTTGAATTCTTAGTCTGTGAGCATGGGAAGGTGTCTGTGGCAAATGCTGGGCTGGCTGTAGTGCAGCAGTGGTAGGAAGCAGAAGGGGCAGAGCGCTTGGTGAGATGTGAGCAGGTTCTGTGTGCAGTAGTCAATGCAGCCTCTTGACCTCCCTGGAGGAAAGCGTCATCTCATTTTCTAGCTGGAAAAGTAAATGAGCAGAAAAAAGTTAAATATCTTACCAAAGTTAGTAAAGGGCCTTAGCAAACCTCAGGTCTCCCAGGGCTGTGCCCACAGACTCTGTTGTTGGGCTTTTTTATCTTTGAAATCCAGATATCTTCCAGCACTCTTTCTTCATCCACCTGCTCACTGTGGTAGTTACTTAGTTAAAACCTTCATTTCTGGTTTGTTTGGAAACCTGCCCAAACTCACTGGCCTGCTGGTGGGACTTAGAGGTGCTGCATGCAGTGAAAGGCTTCTGAGGCTTGTCACGTAGTGAAGGCTGTTGTGAAATTACAACTGCACCGAGGAAGGAAGAGAAGAAAATCAGCACAGCCCAAAGCAAAAGCACACAAAAATACAAAAAGTAGTAGAGATGAAGTGAATCCTGGCCCTGGGGGGTTTATAGTGTGATACCAGGGGTCTGTCCTCTTGGGTTGTCTTTGAAGGCTGGGAGTTTCAGGGTACAAAGGTTCATTGGTTGTTCGATGTTACAGTGCTTCAGTTGTAGCCTTTGTGTTTCCTCTGCCCCTGATTAGAGGAATTCTGTCCTGCTGGGGGCTGATTTCAGGCAGCTCCTTGCAGAGCCTTCTGTCACCTTCTGTCTCCTGTGCCACCAGGAGTGACGCTCTCTGAAGCCCGCCGTGCCAGCCCAGCCTGCCAGGGGGCCACTCCAATGCCACGGGACATGGCCTTCCCAGTGCCCAAGGGAGGAAAATGGCACGACCACTACGACTACATCAGGTACTGAGAGCACACAGAGCTTCAGAGCTCTGCTCCTGGGGACGGGTCTGCACGTGGTGTGGGCAGACAGGATGGGTAACGCTGGCCTAGGAACGACAGATTTGCTCGGGGGGGGGCAAAAGGAAAAGTCTTATAGGAGGCAGTGAGCTCAACCTGCTTCTGAGAGAGGCTTCTGTGCCAGGTGTAGGCTGTTGTGAGATCCTGCGTGCCTGTGTGGAGTCCTGGTTACGTGGTGCCTTCTGATTTTGCCCAGGTTCCCACCCGATGGCTCCAGTCTGCCGTATGACTCCATCCAGAGGAGCTGCTCCAGTCCTGTGGCAGGTGGGATGGCTGGGGACAGCAGGTGGGACAGCAGAGAGGACACGCTGGCCCCGTGCATGTGCTTGAGTAGCACTTGTGGGGCTCAGTCAGAGCTTTTTGCTGGGGGAGCTGCCAAAAGCTGAGGCTGACATGGGTCAGCTGAAGTACTGCGTTTGCTGGGAAATTAGATTAATTCTAAAGTAGCTGTGAGATGGGCTCCTTTCATAGCTATTACTGAGAATTCAGAAAATAGCCCTCAGTGAGTCTCCTGGGGTCAGAGTCCTTTCCCTTCTCCCTCCCAACTCAAGGCAGCAAATCCGATGTGTTATGTGTTATTTGTGTGTGCTGTGTATCTGCTGTAGTGCTTTCAGTGAGTGGGGGACCCAGATGGATTTTCCATTGCTATTCATCCCCACGCCTTTCTAGACTCCATCAGCAGCCGAGTGGTGTGACTCTTTGCTTCCAGGGGAGGTTCAGGCTGGACATTAGGAACAAGTTTTTCTTAGAAAGAGTGGTGAGACAGTGGCACTGCTGCACCAGGAAGGTGGTGGGGTCACCAACCCTGGAGGTGTTTCAGAGCCACGGGGATGTGGCACTGAAGGACGTGGCTCAGTGGGCGTAGTGGGGTGGGTTGGGGTTCAGCTTTGTGATCAAAGAGGTCTTTTCCAACCTTAATGATCCTGTGATCCTTCCCTGCAGTGGGTAGCTAACAGGGCAGAGCCCAGCCCTTTCTTCTGTCACCCAGGTGGCCACAACTCAGAGGAGCCTCTTGGCCAGCTGCCCCAGCCGGTGACGCTCACCAAAGCGGTTCGAGACCGGCTGTCCCTCATCCAGCAGATCACCAGTCCCAAGGCTGTAAGTGTGCCGTGGGTGGAGAGTGTGACTCCTTTCTGCTTTACAGGGAGTTTTTCCCCCATCTTTTCCTTTAGTTTCTGTATTTAGAATGTAGAAGCTGCTGCTTGTCATTTGCAGCCTGATCTGGGCACGGTCTGTTGACCCGGAGGCCACAATTAATAAGTCAGTGGTTCACTGTGGCGTAGCACAGAGCAGAGAGGAGAAAAATGCCAACGACTCCATAATCTTCAGACATCCATCTCAGCTGGGCAGCAGATACTTTTGTCTTCCAATTAAAGATAGGAAATGAAGACTGGAGGCTAAAGGGACTTGGTGGGGTGAAGAGCCACTCGGGAGTGACACCGGTGTCCCCCTGTCTCTGCCCTTGCAGTGGGTGCTGGGAGGGCTGAGCCGTGCCCAGGGCTGAGCCGTGCTGGGGGCTTTGCTCTTTCCCAGATGCCACACCGGTGTGCTGCAGCTGCAGGAAGCATCCCTGAGGTTCACCTGGCAGTCCCTGAGGCCCTGCGTGTTGGGGAGCAGGAGGCAGAGGATGGGATGCTGCGTGGCATGGGGGACTCCGTGCGGTCCCTGGCTGTCAGTGATGGTGGCATCCATGTGTATGCACACCAGAGGAGCGAGCGAGCTGCCCATGCCACCCAAGCAGGCTCAGAGGAGGTGAGTGAGCAAACGGAGGACACAGCAGCCCCATTTCCCGTTGGTTGTGGTTCTCCTTACTGTTCCCCCCCTTTTGGAGGCTTTGATGGTGGGACACTTTGGTCAAGAGGAGAGGAGCTCTGCTGCTTGGAACACGAGCTTTTGCTTCCTGCATGCACCAGGGCTCCCTGTGAGCCACGTGTTCAGCCAACAGCACCAGGTTTTGCCAGGCACCGATCTCTCCCCTGCACCTTGCTCCATCTGCCCAGACTGTGCTGAGCACATGGGGCCCTGGGTACTCTCCCCAGCCCTGCCCGTGTGCCCTGGCACTGCTGTGGGGCTGACATTGCTGGGGATGTCTCTGGGCTCCCTGGAGACACTCGTGGCTGATGGCATTGAGCCCTGCAGAAACAGTGGAGGGAACATAAGCTTCAGGCTGGAGTTTGCTGTAATGCTACAGAATGCTTTTGCTGGCGTTATTTTTTTCTTTTTTTTTGGTTGTCCATTCTTTTCAACTCCTATCTATGTATCTTGAATGGAGGATTTGTGTTTGAATGCACTAAGGCCCTTGTTGTTACCCATCTGCACAGGGCGTGCACAGGAAGGGCCCAGGAGCAGATGCACCAGCCAGTGGGAGAGCCTCTCGCTGCAGGGTAAGGCACTGCCCCTCTCGCCTTCCAAATCCGACTTCTCCTGGGATGAATAAAAGCCATCCCTCAGAGAGAAAGCAGAGCTGTCCCAGTGCCACACAGAGCCAAGAAATGGGGATGGAGGGGCTCAGCAGTCGGAGCACCAAGGCAGAGCAGTGGGTGAGCTGCCATCATCCTCCTCTGACTTTCTTTTTCCAGAGCTTCTTACCAGATCCTATCCTGAAGCTGAGGAAGGTGATTGGCTTTGGAGGCTGCAGCACCAAGTGGGTCAGTACCTGGGCGGCTGTGTGTGCTTATCTGTAACACTGTGCTGCTTTCTCAGGGGAGCAGAGAGCCCACAAGCACCACGCTTGTGGAACATTTATGGTGGGGAAAATGACCCTGCGACAAATGGGCGTGAGGCCGTGTTTGTGCATGGCTATTCTGCTGTTACAGTGGCAGAAATCAGAAATGATGGGAGCCATTTGGGTCTCGTGGCTTCTGCGGATTTCAGAGACCTTTGTCTCCAACCTGGGCTCGCTGTGACATCTCAGCTGCCCTCTCGTTTCTCTCCTGCAGGCGCTGTGGACTCGGAACAGCTCTGCAGTGGTGTACCCCTGCCACGCAGTGATAGTAACCCTGCAGATTCAGACTGGCGAGCAGAGGTTCTTCACTGGCCACACAGATAAGGTAGAAGTGGTTTCCTTCCAGAGGCACGCAGTCGCTCCCAGCTGCTCCCATCCCAGCTCTCCGATGTCCCACAGGTGTCAGCGCTGGCGTTCAATGGCAGCAGCACCCTGCTGGCCTCGGCTCAGGAGGGTCCCCTGGGTGTGCTGCGCCTCTGGGACTTCCCCAAAGGCAGCTGCGTGGCTGTGTTCCAAACCCACGTGCGGGCCGTGCTGTCCCTCAGGTACGTGCCAGCCCTGGAGGGGATGCGTCCTCAGCCCCTCAGCGTGCGTTCCTCTCTGTGTTTTCTTTCCCACATTTGAGCCCTATCACCAGGCAGCCTCGGTATTTAGGGCCCGTAATTGCAAACTGCAGGTGTTGCAGCATGACAGCTTTTCCGTGCTATTGCTGTGTGATAAAGCAGGGGTGAATTACAGCTCTCCATCAGCCTGCATTTCTCAGCAGGCCCGCTGGCAGCTCTCCCAGCACAGCTGATCTGCTGGCAGCTCACCTCAGCACTCACCACCTCCCCACATCCTGTACTTACCTGCTTTGATTCCCAGCTGAGATGCATTGGGGTGTGAGGTGCAGCCCCTCACCAGGTGCCCCCCCTGTTCTTGCAGCTTTTCCTACAGTGGAGCCGTTCTCTGTGGCGTTGGAAAGGATCGACATGGCAAAACGGTGAGAAGTAGAATTTGGTTTTTTGGTGTTTTCCCTGCTCTGCTGAGCAAGTGGTGTGAGAGGGCTGTTCCTTCGGATCCTACAGCTGCTGTGCAGGCAGAGCACTGCTATGGGCTCGCTAGCTTCCAGCTGACAGCCAAGCCTGGAGGATTCTCCTTTTGTCCTCTGGGGATCGCTGCAAACTAATGCACACCACTGCCTGGCTGAGGGACACAAGCTTGTGCAGCACCTTGTGCTGGAATGCCTGCAAGCACATAGTGGAGGAGTGGGAATTGAAATGGGAGATTGGGCACTGTCTGAAACCCAAAATACATCTTTTGTAGTGTGGAGGGCGAGCAAACAGATGCTGGGTTTAATCCTTCCGTTCTGGGCATTGCAGACATTGCGTGCTGGAAGGGTGCTGGGTGCTGAAGCTGCCACCCACTGATGTAGCTAGAGGATGACGCAGATCCCACACGTAGTAGTCAAAAATAAAGCTGTTTTTTTGGGGCTTTGTCAGTGCAACTGTTTTCACCCAACAATCCCTTATTGGCAGCTCTCAGCAATTAGCTGTGCCACTGCTGACTGCCTGCAGGAAGAAAACAAACAGCCACAGGATTGCTCCGGCTTTATCCCAGCATAAAGCAGTGCTCCACAGCCGAGCTGGAGACCCACAGCTGGGGGGCTGCACATGGGCTGCCCAGGAGCACTGCTGGGGTGATGCTGCAGGCTGTGCTGGGTCCAGCCTAAGTGTTTTCTGAGAGCAGAGCGTTTGGTCACCTGCCTGTCCTCACTGGTTGTCCCCTTGGCTTTGGGTGATCTCTGTCCATCCCCATGTTTGGAGACCTGCAGGGGCCACTCCATGAGGTGGGGAGGCTCTGAGCATAGCCTGAGACAGGCACTATCACTGCTTTGCCACATGAATTGGCACCATAGGCGAGCAACCTTGGAGCTGAGCGGCATGCTACAAGGAGGGCAGCAAACTTGCTATTTCCAGCCCTTGTGGAACATCTCAGCCATGCTGCAGCTTTTCCAGAAAGCAGAATTTGTGTATTTTCTTTCCTGAATTTGAGCCCCAGTGCCAGGTAGCTCCAGATTTAGGACCTGTAATTGCAGTTGCCAAGCAAACACGCTGCAATGAAGCTTTGCTGAGCTGCTTGGACTGTCCTGAGCCCTCTGCAAAATCAGATTTTTCCTTCCTTCAGTATTCTTACCAGCTCCAGAGCAATCCCCAGGCTGTGCAGCTGTTCTGCTCTGCTGAAAAACTCTTCCTCTGCCAAGGTTTCCATATTTCAGCTGCTCTGCTATGCTGTCTCCCTTCAGATGGTGGTGGTGTGGAACACTGCCCAGGTGACCCGTGGTGGAGAGGTGTTGGTGCTGGCCAGAGCGCACACGGATGTGGACATCCAGACCTTGAAGATTGCTTTTTTTGATGACACCAGGTAGGGTGCATAGAAAACATGTGGGCAGAATCAGTTTGGGCATGGCTGTGGAGCACTTGAGGCGCTGCAACTGTTTAAAAGCAGCTTGTGAACCAGGTGGAGAGCAACTTTTTATGTGGTCTCGTGGTGATAGGATAAGAGGGGAGGGTTTTCAACTAAAAGTGAGGAGAATCAGGTTAGATATTAGGAGGAAATTCTTGACTCAGAGGGCAGTGAGGTGCTGGCACTGCCACCCAGAGCTGTGGGTGCCCATCCCTGGAGATGCCCATGGTCACGGGTGGGCAGCTGAGCTGAGGGAGGCACAGCCCACAGCGTGGAACCAGTCGGGCTGTGAGGTCCCTTCCAACCCAACCGTGCTGCACTTGCACGATTTGGGCTTGCAGGAGCAAGATTTGATCCTTTTCCATCCCTCACCCCATCTCTCTTGTGACAGGATGGTGTCGTGCGGCCGGGGCAGCGTGAGGCTGTGGCGAGTGCGGAACGGAGCGCTGCGCTCCTGTCCTGTCAACCTGGGCGAGTACCACGCACTGGAGTTCACTGACCTGGCCTTTGAGGAGGGCAACTCGGCTGCCCGTGAGCCTGACGACCGCACGCTGTAAGATTGCAGCCTTTTCCTGTCCCCGTGGCACCGTGCCTGGGTTCCCTTGGAGCTGTGGGAGCTTCTGCCCTCCTCAGCGGGCTGTGCTTCAGTAGGATGCAGGCCATGAGTCCTCACGCTTGCCCCGTGGATGTGTTGCCTTGTGCTGAGACCTGAGGCTCATGGTTTGCTTTCTGTTGGTGCGGTGCAAATCCTCTGAGATACAAACAGATCACTTTTTTGCTTTAATGCTTTATTTTAATCATCAGAGCAGACCCTTGCTGCTACCACACGCAGCTCCAAGCAGACCAAGCTGTGCCCTGCCCTCCCTGAGGGCTGTGTCCCAAGCTGAGGGTTCTCACTGAAGTCTGTGCTGAGCTTTCGGCTTGTTTTCTGATTGGTATTTTAAAGGGTGGGAAGGTGATAAAATAGGAAGCTGTGACTGACAGATTGGACATCAGATTGGATATTAGGAACAATTCCTCAGGAAGAATGGGGATGCAGTGGCACTACTGCCCATGGAAGTGGGGGAGTCGCCGTCCCTGGAGGTGAGCCCCCAGAGCCGTGTTGATGTGGCACTGTGGGCAGTGGGGATGGGTTGGGGTTAAACCTGGGATCTTAGGCATGTTTTCCAACCTTAATGATTCCTCTCTTGCCGTCTTGGCTGTAGGTTTGTGGGATAGCACGTGGAAAGGCCCTTAGATCACCGTAGCATGAAATGGCTTTCCATCTTAACAGGTTATGGTGTGCTTCCCCTCTAAACCTGCATTGTTACTCTAGGACTTCTGCACAGTAACACCCCGGAAACCTGGATTTTTGCTATGGCACATCCACACGGTTCCTCTTAACCCCGAGGAACCAGAGCATGCTTCCTTCTCCTTTCCAGCTTCGTCTGCAGCAGGAGTGGCCACGTCCTGGAGGTGGACTACAAGAACGTCTGCGTGCGGAGTGCGCGGCGGCTGCTGCCTGCACAGCTGCAGGATGGGGCAGGTAGGTGGGCAGGGGCAGCGTAGATCCCACCCCTGGTAGCATAAAGCAGCTGTCAGCCTGCTGCTGAAGCTTGTTTGGGGTTGATTAGGTTGTTGCTAGCTAGCTGTTTTCCCTTTAAGCACTGCAAATGGTGCAGCAAAGCATCGTCCTAAGAAAGAATCGGAGCGTTTTCGATGCTGATTGCACTTTCAGAGGAATGCTGCTTTTAGAAACATGAAACGGGGGTCTTAATTTGCTGATGAGAATCTCAATGCAGTGATGTGAAAAAGCAAAGCGGATGAATGAAAGGATGAATTTTGGGGCTTTTTTTTTTTTTTTCATTACTTGGCCTGTGTGAAGTGTTTGGGGAAATCTTTGATGCTGTATTCTAAATGGTACAGCTTGCAGCTCATCCATTAATTTTAACAGCAGGAAGAATTCACTTTCAAGTGTCACTGCTCCGCTGTCTTAAAACTTGATGCATGTTTTGCTTTGGCAAGTGGAGCTAATTAACCTAGAGCGTGCCTCTTTGGGAAGCACAGAACTCTAGTTCCCCCTTTGTGGGTGAGAACCCAGCCTAGAGATGGAGTGATTGATGTCCCTGGGTGCCTCAGTGGCAGCAGCGTTGGCTGCCTTTGGTGCTGTGACCATAGACGACGTACTGGCATTGAAGCATCAGCTTTCATCACCTCTACCTGTCAGACGCTGCAGAGAGGATTTGAGACACAGGGATGGAAGTTTTGTATCTCAGACACTTCACCTTGCCACGCAATCTTTTGCAAGCCAAAAGTATGGCAGGGTTTAAAAAGTGGCTTTTCTGTGCCTGGCAAGAGTGAACAGAGCTGTGCTGATGGTAAGAAGTGCTGGAAGATGACAGGGGGTGACAGGGACCTTTCAGAGGTGCAGTCCTTCACAGTGGGATTTCTGGCTGCTGGTGCAGCTCTTGGATGAGAGAACCCTCCATTAGAGTTTTCGTATTTCTGTCAGTATACAACTAAGTGTTGTTGTTGATTTTCCAGGCCCTGGGATCGCTATAAACAGTATCAGCATCTCCTCAAGCCTTTGTGCCACGGGCTCAGCAGACGGCTACCTGCGGCTGTGGCCGCTGGACTTCTCAGCTGTTGTCCTTGAAGCAGGTGAGCAGAGCAGGGAGGAATCCTTCCCACCTCCACAGTGCATCAGCTGGGAAGCAAAGCCTCTGCTCTGATGTCTCCTAAAGTAACGTTTGTGAATAAGGGTGTTCTTTCTGCTGGCTGTCACTGGGGGTGACTGTCTTGGAAGTATTTTACTTGAGTGACTATTTATTCCTGCTCATTCTTGTAACTCCTAGGGATGAGGCAGGAGGGCCTGGGGGAGAACAGGCAGTGCGTCTTGATTTCTGTGCCCTTGTACCCACAGCTCATCCGTGCGTGAAAAATTAGGAGAGAAGTCAAGCTGTTCTTTGCTCTTTTTGAAACAGTCACCATAACAGCAGAGCCCAGGGACTGCTAGAAAGGGCAGAGACTAATTTGTCACTGAGCTCAAACCTGCAAGCACTCAATCTTGAGATCACGTGGGAAATCTATTCCTACGTGCATTACTTGCCCAAGTGTGCATCTGGCTCTGCAGCTGTGCTCCAGGCGCCGTGCTTCTGTTGTGGGGCTGTGCTGACTGCTGTGTCCTCCCCCAGAGCACGAGGCTCCGGTGAGCTCTGTCTGCATCAGCCCTGACGGCCACAAAGTCCTGTGCACGACCACAGCCAGGAATCTGGGCTACCTGGACATCCAGTCCCGGGGCTACAGCACCCTGATGCGCTCCCACGAGGATTCCATCTTGGCCTTCTCAGTGGAGGGAGTTTGGAAGCAGATGGCGACGGTGTCTCGAGATAACACCATCCGGGTGTGGGACCTCGTGTCCATGCAGCAGGTGGGGTAGATGAGAGCTGCTGGGGATTTCGTGTTTATTAATCCTCTGCCCAGGTTCTGCTTAGCTGAGTTATCAGAGCTTTGTGGTGTAAGAGCTCTTACATGTCCTCCTTGAAACACAGGGTGTCCCCTGCACAAGAAATCCTTATGAAGCCCGCAGTTCTCTGGCTCTTAGCATAATGTGTAATTTGGTCTTAGCTTCTGAAGGTGTAATTAAACAAAATAGCCTAATTTGTTTTCCCTTCCTTCACCTTGTGAATCCTGCTTTTAACACAAATCACAGTTCCCGAGGGCTTTATCTAAAAGCCCAAAGACCCAGGACTTCGTTGGGCTTTGGTTGCGAGCAGGAATGGTCAGAGTTCCGTTGCGGGACCATTGTGGTGGAGCTCTGAGGCCATTCAGTGTGGCTGCCAGGTGCAGCTCCTTCCAGCTTTGTGCCTGTGCTGTTTCCCCTGCAGCTGTACGACTTCACAGCTGCTGATGAGATGCCGTGTGCTGTGTCCTTCCACCCCACCCAGAGGATCCTCGCCTGTGGATTCGACAGCGGCGTGGTGCGGACCTTCAGCTTGACTGCCTCTGACCTGCTGGCAGAGCACAAGTAAGTGGTGAGAGCTGCAGGAAGGGCTCTGATGATGGGTGTTGTAGCAAGAGGTGCACCAGTAGCTGCACCACAGGAGGTGGGAAGGTTGCTTTTCTGGGGCTTGGCAGTTCTCGTGTGCCAGCTGATCAGACGTACGTAGCCTGGGATGGTGCAAATCCAACCTGCAGCAGCACCGAGTGCTTCGTGTGCCCTCTGACAGCTGCTGCTGGTAGGAAAGGGGTTCTCCTAGAGGCTGGATGGACATGGAGCTCTTGTGTGCCTCAGTGTGGGAGGTGGGATGCTCCAAAGCGGGGGGAGCTGGTCCCATCCAGCAGCAGCCCTGCACTGTTGTAGGCGTAGACATGCTGAGGTTCTCTACTTGCCCCTGGTTGTTCTCTCCCCTGGGTTCTTCACAGTGTTGCACTTGATGTTGCTGCACTTTTCTGTGGCTTTTTTGGTTCTTGGCTGTTTCACTTTTTCCTCCTTCTTCCAGACAGCACCGCACTCGGATTGCTGGGCTCACCTTTTCTCCAGATGGCAACTTCATGTTCAGCTCCTGTTTGCAGGGAACTCTGGCTCTTTATAGCTGTGTGGCACAGAAAAGCCAGGTCCTGAGAGTCCTGGGTAAGTTCTTGGGGTTCTGGGTTGCCTTTTTCGTTTTCCCCCTGCAGTCTTTTTAGTAGCACGGGCATCAAACCAGGCTCAGCCCATTCAGAAAGCTGCATCATTTGTATTTATTCCTTGAAATAAGCAGCACTGGGAAGCTTGGGCAGGGAAGGGGAGCTCCACTGTACAGTGCATTGTACAAAGAGCTCCTGCCCCTGTGGGTGTGAAGCATACAGAAAAAGAACAGGGGCTGAGAGGTTAGGGAATTTGTCCAGAATCCCCAAAATTTGGTGTCAGTGGTGCAATGGGATGCTCAAGTTTTGGCCTGGAGCCCACGCTCACTGTTTGGCCATGCTCCAGGGACATAACAGTAGAATTCTGGTGGTGGAATAAATACAGGGAATTGCTCTGATTTTTGTCATTTTCTGACCTTTGGCTTTGTCTGCCCATTGGGCTGAGGTTGGTGTGCTGGGGTTCGCTCTGCACAGGGTTCAAATGTTCAGGTTGCAGCTGAGAGCTCACATCTGTAGCAACTTGTCACAGCTTCTAGTAAGGTTTAAAAACAAAAAAATCAATTTTATTTCTTGTTCTGTGCTCTGAAAGCACCACATGTTCAGTCAGGCCTTGTCTTTGAGGTGGTTTGCTGTGTGGATGTAGCAGATAACATTAGTAGCTTCTTCCTCAACAGAGGTTGCTCCTTTCTCAGGCCAGAGCATTACCCCAGGGCTGACCCAGAGGCAGCAGCTGCAGGTAGAAGTTAGCAGCACCATCACAGCGTGCTGCAGAATGACACCTGCTCCTCTCCTCACCCTCTCTCTTGCTGTGGCCCTCAGGTAACGTGGTGGCCCGGGATGCTGGCAGTGGTCCTGATGCTTTGGTGCTCAGTGGGGACAGCTGCCTCCTGGCCTTCGTGGGGCCCTCCAAGTACGTTGTGACCGTGATGGAGGCCTGCTCTCTGGATGAGGTACCAGCAGGGTCCCCGCAGTGCTGGGGAAGAAAATCCCTGTAGATTTACAACCAGTGAGATAGGTCAGGAGTTGGGCAGAGCATTGGAGAGGGCCTCCCCAGCGCAGCAGGTGCTTATTCAGGTGCTTACAGCTTAGTTTTCCGCTCTGTGAGTTTGGAAACAGCCAAGTCAAGGCTGCTGCTGCTTCTCAGCTTCACTCCCCTCTAGAAAGATCATTTGAAGAGCAGCAGTGGGCAGTGGGGATGTTGCTGTTGCCCTGCAGCACTCTGTGGGATGTCCAGCTGGAGCACGAGAAGGGGTGTGGGGAACTCTGTAGCCTTGTGTTAGGAGAGCCACCAGAGCAGCCCCAATGCCTGCCCAGCAGCTGTTCCTGAGCCTCCCCCAGCGCTTGCTCCAGGATATTCAGCAGCTTCTTGTTTCACAGCTGCTGAGGGTGGACATCAGCATCCTTGATGTGAACAGTACGGCCTTGGACTCTGCAGTGAGAATCTGCTTTGCTCCTGTGTCGCAAGGAGAGCTCCTGGTGTCCACTTCTTCCAACAAAATCCTTGTGCTTGATGCAAAAACAGGACGGCTGGTGCGAGAGGTAGGGCACGAAGAAATTCATGTCTGAGGGATCACCTCGTGTGGGGTTCGGGCACCTCAGGAGGCTGTGTGAGAGAAGAGCTCATCCTGAGGGCTTCCAAGTAAAACACGAGAGGTTAGCATGTGGCTGTCACAGTGTGGTCTTGGTTAGGGTGAGCCTGAGCTTGTCCTTGTTTTCTGTACTGCCACACTGCTCTCCTCTCGCTGAAGCATAAGGACATGAACCTGTATTATTACACTGCAGTGGGCTGGTGACAGGGGGTCAATGAAGTTAACTAATCTCACAGATGGGCTAATGAAATACCCAAGTGACACACTTATATTTTCAAATCTGGCTGTGTCGTAGTGAATCTGTCCAGACCACGGTGTGTTCAGTGATCTTCACACTCCTGGAGAAACTGAAGGACTGGGGACAAGTGCAGACCTTTCTCAGGGCATCTCTTGTCTGCTGCTCTAAACTTCACCAGAGGCCAAAAGCATTCCCCTCATCTTCATCCCACTGACCTGTTATTTCCTGTTGACGAAGAAGTGTGTAACTGGTTGATAGTGAGAGTTAATGCTGCTGGTGCTGTGCCCTGTCCTCAGGTGTCCCCCGTGCACAAGTTGTCCTGCTCTTCCTTGGCACTGAGTAAGGATGCCAGGTACCTGCTCACTGCTGGCGACAAGGTTATCAAAGTGTGGGACTACCAGATGCGCTTCAGCATCAACTTCCAGGTACTGCATCTGGGGAGGGAAGGAGGCTGCTGTTCCCCTGATCCATCAGATAAAGCGTTTCTGAATCCCTGGAGAAGAAAGTGGCAGATGTGTGGCTTGGGCCAGCATGTTTGAGGTGACCCCTGGGTTTGAGCACTGCGTGCTGCTGCTGTCTGTGTGATGATCCTCTGCTGAGGAGCGCAGACAGAAGCATCCTTCCCTGAGGATGAATGGAGGATGGATGGATGCTTGCAGGGAGCCACTGTGTGGCAGCCACAGTCTTTGACAAAGTGATGATGGAATTCATGACACTTTCTCTCCCAGGTGTACATTGGCCACTCAGAGCCTGTGTGCCAGGTGGCCTTCACCCCAGACCAGCGGCACGTCGTCAGTGTTGGAGATGCCATCTTCCTCTGGGATTTCCTAGCTGTACCTGCAGAGGGGTCTCCCCCAGCCCTGTGAGTGCCATGTTAGCTCTGTGCTTCCCCTTCCTCCAGCTCCTCTCTGTGTAACACTGCTCTTGTTGCCTTCGTAGGACTCGTTCCTCTGAGTCCCCTCTGCTGCTGGCAGCAGGTAAGTTTGCTTGCTGCCCTGAGCTGCTCTGGTCAGCAGCTCTCCCACAGCTGCTTTTCCTGGCAGTGGATAGGGGTTGGGGAAATGGATTTTGGTTCTTTCCAAGAAGGATAGTCAGGTAGTAGGGGGTAACTGGCTAATTAGTCCCGTTGGCAGTCTCCACTTAACTAGCACATCTCAGTAAAAGTCTGCCAAGGAGGGGATGTTCTGAGCAGAGTGGATCTGGGTTTCTTGATAGGTAGCTCAGCCTTTGCCTTTTGTCTTTCCCTGCCCCTGGCCTCCTCCCTCTATCTTTTCTGTCTTCTTGCTCCCTGGCCTCGCTGTCCCCACTCTGTGTGTCCCCCTTAAATGGTGGAGCAGGAGCTTGGGGTCATCGTCATTGGTTGCCCTGGGAAGAGAAGAGGGTTTAAGGGACTATGGGAGTTACACAAAGTGTTTTATTTTCACAGAAAAGAGCTCTGAGAAGCTAAAGGATGTGTCTGACGTACCTCGGCAGACAATTCCTCTTCCACTGTTGTCCTCACCACCATGTCTGGATGTCAGCCCTGTCCACACAGCGGGATGTCAAAGTAAGAGGAATTGCTTGCAGGAAAAGGGGAAGTTGATCTCATTTTGGGAAAAGCTCCTTGCCTAGTTCTCCAGCATCCTCAGAGCTGACTCTGCTGCTCATCCCCTCCCTGCAGACTGACAGAGCAGTCTGCACTTTCCTTCTAACGTGGACAAAGCTAGCCAGAGGTGTGGGAGTTCAGTGCTGCTGTAACTCCAAACGCTGAGCTGCTGGCACAGCTCCTGTGAAGGCAGTGGTAAACACCCTGTTGGACATATCCAGCAGGAAATGCCTGCTTTGCCCTCCACTCTAACAGATGGGTTGTGACACCGAGCAGAACCACTACCAGAAATCAGTGGGTCAGTCAGGCGTGAAGCAGTCCTGGAAGACGCGGTCGGTTCTGTCCTGCTGTTCTTTCTCTTCAGGTATTTTCTCAGAGTCAGACAGAGAGGAGGAGGCCTGTCTGCCTGGCAGAGCAGTGGAGAATGGAGACAAAGACTCCTCAGTCTTTGTGGCAGAGGCGGCCAGGAGCGAGGATCTTATTGTTGTGAGACCCAAAGTGAGGCCAGAGAGCTGCAGGCCTGCTGCACCATCAGCACATGGTAACTTGGGACCATCTCCACCTATCCCAGATCTTGGCTGCTTGGGGCACAGCATGTATCCTGCATGGCAGCTTGGTCTGTCCCTGAAAAGCAAAGAAAGATGCAGCACAGGCAGTCCCACAACAGCTCTCCAGTGGTGTGCTGAGATGTGAAAGAAGGGGCAGCAGTGTGCTCCTCGGGTGCCTTCCTTGTCTCAGGTGTGATGGGGAGGGATTCTCATGCTGGCCCCCAGGTCTGCTTGTTTGCCTGGCTCTTTCCCTGCTGCTGCTTCTAGGTGTGCCAGAAGCCCCTCTTCAGCTTCTTGGAGCCCGTATCATCTCTAAGTGGCAAGTTCTATTAAAGCCAGCTGAAATTAAAGCTCCCTATGCCTCTATTAATAGAGGCACAGCCTCAAAGCTCCAGCTGTGTATGGCGAGCTGCCAGAAGCACGCAGCTGCCAGCGCTCAGCCCCAGGCAGGATTTGCTGGAAAGCTTCAACGTAAAACTACGCCTCTGCTGCTCTGCTTAGAGACCTTTTTCTGGCTGCGTGACTTCTGCTTTGCAGCGATGTGTGCATCGTGGATGTCTTTAGGCTGTTTGGAGCGTGGCTGAGTGGGGTGATGGAAGGGATGGGTGTTCTTCCTGTGCTCCTGGAAAGCTGGTGCTTTTCCTGCAGCCCCTCACACCGTCGTACAGAAGCATGTGTGGCTCTGCAGTCGAGTTTTTCCTCTCCCATGTGTTAGTGTGTATGCACACACACATCATCAGAACAGACAAGCCACAAGATAGCTGCTGATCCCAGACCATTCCCATGGGCAGCAGCATCACATAGGCAGCAGCATCACATAGGCACTGTTTTCTTCTTTGTACGGCAGAACCCAGAAAGGAGACCAGCAGTCCCCAGTCGCAGTGCTGCGTCCGCCCGGATTCCTACCGGCATTTCACTCCTCACTTTAAGGCCTCTGTGCTCCCCCAGGTGAGAACTGTGCTGGTTGCTGGGCCGGGGGAGGATGAGGCTTTTGGGGGCTGGGCAAGGTGGCTTTTCAGAGTTGTTACTGATTTTTGTTCTTTGGTGAAATGCACCCCCGGGTCTGATGTCCAAACAGAAACCCTTAACGTTAGTCCACCTCTCTCCTCTGCATGCAGCTCTTTCCAGACTAGCAAAAAGTGAGTCGCTCTCAATTCTGTTTTCTGTTCAGCAAATCTGCATAAATTTTGATTCAAAGGCAATGGGAATGGCATGTGCTATTGAAAGTGAAAGACAAGCGAGCAGTGGCGTGATTCATCACACACATATTTGCAAGCAGATGCATTGGCAAAGCAGGCTGGGGAAGGCAATCCATCGGGGGTAGCGAAGGTAGTTAAGGCACAGCTCTTGCTCTGTTAATAAACAGAGTGATAATAAAACAGAAACTTAACTCAGTCTTTCCCTAAGCTCTGCTGCTCACGGTGGGTGGGAGAACAGCTACGTTCATCTCGCATCCTTAGTTCCCTCCTCTGCCCCCCACCTGGTGGTGCTTTTTCCCTCACTGGTTCCTCTTCAAAGTGCATCAGCAGCTCAAAAGCCCACCAAACTCCTGCCCAGCAGGATTAGCAGCTGCTCATCAGATGGGGAACTGCTGCCAGCCTGTTTTGTGCCCTGTCTGAAAGCATCTGTTTCTGGCTGTGTCGGTGCAGTTTCTCTTTCATATGTATGCGTGCACATTCTTATCGATCCATTGATGGGCTGAATGTGAATTGTGTGAGCACTGGCATGAATTTGGGTGTTGTGTGTGTGAGTTTGATGCGTGTGCTTGCATGCATGCTTTTCTTATGTGTGTCCTGAATGCACCTGATCAAACTGTCCTCTCAGAGCTTACTGTAAGCCTGCGTCTATTTTTCTTGCAGAGTTTTTTATCTCCTCCAGCTGGCAACGAAGTCCTGAAGCTGAAAGCAGTAATTGGCTACAATGGAAATGGCAGAGGGAACATGGTGTGGGACCCGGACACAGGTATGTTGGGGAGGGTGCCCAGGGCTGGGAGCTGTGTGAGCTGTCAGTGTGCACACGCTGAGCTGAGGTCTATTACTCCAGCTGTTGGGTTGGGATCTTTAGCAGGTGGTTCTTCGTGCTGACAAAGCCCAGTAACACTTCTTTGCTGCTGGTGAAAGCAGATAGGGACAGCTTCAGGCTCTGGTAGTCAGATGGATAGAGGAGGGTGAGAGCTGCCAGAGAATCCATCTCAACTCCTTTCTCCAAGCTGGAGCAATGCCCAGCATCTTTGCTTTACTTAGGTTATGGGAAGTGAGATTTGCCCTGCTCCACACACAGCCTGTAGGAAGGATGCTGCAGAGGCTACGTAGAAGAGTCAGCTTTTACAAATTGCTTAAACAAAAATAATTTCCCTGGTCTGTGATGTGAGTTGCAGTGGGTGCTGTATGTGAAGCCTTTACAGGAAAACATCCCATCTGCTCATTCTCTGCTAGGTTTCTTCGCCTACACCTGTGGCTGCATCATCGTGGTTGAAGACCTGCACTCAGGATCACAGAATCACTGGCTTGCTCATGCAGAAGAGATCTCTACACTTGCTGTCAGCCACGATGCCCAGGTAGGAGAGGCTTCTGCTCGCCCAGGGCTGTTTGATCTGCATCACTTCAGGCTAGAGGAATATCACTGATTAAAATCCCATTTGTCTCATCTTCCTTCTGCATGGAGACCTGGGGTTGTGGGAATAAAACCAATGGGTTTTGAGCCTAGTTATTCTTTGTGCTGGCTTGGTGTGACGGCAGAGGCTGTTCCCTCCCTCTGGGTGATGCCACCATTCCCTGCTCCTGTCAGGTGATGGTTTTCTTGCAGAATTTCCCACATGCCAGCTGCATGACTTTAGTGGAGGTCTAACAGTTGCCAACACTAATGAAATGTTCTCTTATTACTTACCAAGGTCTCTATGACAACATATCATTCTGTTAGGCTCTGGCTTCTGCCTCGGGAAAGAGAGATGGAGACTCCCATTGTCAGATCTGCATCTGGAACACCCAGGATGGGATTTGTACAGCAAGTCTCTTCCACCACAAGACACAAGTCCAAGCCATGGCATACTCTCGGGATGACAGGTTCCTTGCTACCATTGGTGAGTACCCCTGTAACTGCTGGGTGTGGGTGCAGGAGTAGACATGGAATGGGCATCTGAGGGGAGGAAGTTGCTGTAAGTGGATGAAAGCTGTGAGCTGCAAACCAAGCTCACGGTTCTGACCAGCAGCTGCTGCTGGGTGGCTTTGGCACTGGAACTTCATTTCCCTGTGAAATTATCAGGGAGCCTAATAAACAGCACAGTGGATCATGCAGCTTGTAATCTCAGGTCCCCCTGGCAGTGACCGTGAGCCTGGGGATGCTCTGCAAGTGAGCAGCTGTCAGCGTTTTGTGGGGGAAAATGTGCCCTGTGTTTACCAGGCATGGGTGCTGGGCTTGCTCTCATTGCCCTGCAGGCTCGTTTTTCTTGAAGTTACAGCTTTTTTTCTGGCTGACTAGTCCTGGTTAAGGCCATGTAAATAGTTTGCAGTTACTATATATAGTATCCAAAGGGAAATGCCTTCTCCTGGCCTTCTTATTGTTGCTTAGCTGGAACTGCACAGAAGTATCCAGGCCTCACACTGTGAGCCTCCTGCCGGGCAGCGATGCCAGCACAAGATGGACACTCAAGCTGTCTGTTTTGTTTAGGCAGGGGACATTTAAAGGACAGATACACAATTAGTAAGTTCTAGTTTTGCAAGAGAGAGGACCTGTGGAGCAGGCAACACGTTCGTTTTGAGCTGGTGAGTCTGCCCTTGGAAAAAAAAGCAAGCCTTGCTCAAGTGAGAGCGCTCTGTGCTCTCTGCAGAGCAGCGTGGGAGAGGAGCCCTCCTTCTCCAGCTCTTTTCTGGGCTGCGGAGAAGGAAAAAGCTGAAAGTCTGCCCTGATTTGTGGAGCCTGGGAAAGGCTGATGAAGTACCTGCTGTGCAGGCTGAGAGCTGGGGGTGCTTACCATGCCATGGCTGCTGCCTCCTGCTGCCTGCCAGACGTGGTGGCTTCCATTAAGGTCAGTTCCCATCTCTGCATTGCTCTCAGCAATGGCACCCTCTGTTTCTCAGTTCAAAACTCTTAGTCCTGAGCTCATAGTGTCGCTGGAGGGCTTGTGTTGGGCATGTGCTGAGGTGTGCTAAGGATGCAGAAATAGCAGAAAGCCTGCTCTGTGTGCTGCAATCCCTACCAGGCCAGCATTGGCTGAGTCAGACATCGGCTGCAGACTGTGCTGTAGGTCCAGATGTGCTACAACCTCCAACACAAAATGTTGGGCCAGCTCTACTCATCCTCAGCTCGGATGCCAACCTATTACATCACGGAGCCTTCGCTGCCACAGAAGCACTTCTTGGCTTTTGCTGAGTATGCATGCAAAGAGATGTGCCTCTGCCTGAGACAACAGTGGCATGACATGAGATTGTGACGTGTGTGTTGGCTGATGGCCATCGTAAGGAAACACTCAGGCTGCAGAATTAGAATAATTGAATCATTTGAGTTGGAAGGGACCTTTAAAGGTCATCTAGTCCAACTCCTCTGCTGTAGGGACGCCTACAGCTCCATCAGGTTGGTTCCCTCCTTCTACTGTCTTTCATGTTCTACCTAGGGGACTACAATGATCAAACCATTGCTCTGTGGAGTACCTACACTTATGAACTCCTGTCATCGACTCGTATCTCCGAGCCAGTCCATGACATGGCTTTTAGTCCTTTTTCTCACAGAGAAATGGCCTGCGTGGGGAAGGGAGCACTTACGTTTTGGCTGCTGGAGCAGCACGGGGCTGACATCAATCTCAAGGTAAAATCTCAGTTTTATCATCTATTGAAATTTATGTTCTGTATTTCTGACGTCTTTTCCAAGCCCTGGTGAGAGAGATGGAGGCTCTGCCCCCACAGTTCTGCAAGAGCTGATGATCTCTCTTAGTGAGAGTGTGACGTTGGCCCTGAGTGGCTTTCAGTTGTATCTGATGCACAAGCTGAATGCATTGAAGGTGGGAGGAGGTGGTTTGCTTCCCTTTTAGCTAAGCAGCACGTTCCCTTTGACCTTTCTGCTTCGTGTGCCTTGGCAGGTTCATAGGGCCCCTGCACCTGAAGTGTTTGGGCCGGTGGAGCTGACATCCCTCTGCTATGGGGCTGACACCCTTCTTTACAGTGGGACCAACTCAGGCCAGGTGTGCGTGTGGGACACGGAGACCAACAGCTGCTTCATGATGTGGGAGGCTGATGAGGGCGAGATCGGTGGGTGCAAATATGGTGCTAAAGGACGTGGGGTAGTGGGCAAGTACTGGTGGTAGGTGGACAGTTGGACAGGGTGATCTTGGGGGTCTTTTCCAACCCTGGTGATTCTATGATTCTAAATGCCACCAATGTTAGGCTGTAAGCAGCACTGAGCTTGCCTGCCTCTCGTTTCAGCTGTGCCTGGAAAAATGGATTTTCCCTATTGGGTGGCAGTTGATCTGTGAGCCGGGTGTCAAAGCTGGGTGGGTCGGGGGGCTACTTCTGGGCTGTGAGAACAGCAGGTGTGCTGCCCAGTGAGTTGGTGGCTGAGAGCAGTGGGGTTTATTCATGGGTGGGTGGCCACGGGTGCTTCCATTTGCCTCCCAGGTGTGCTGGTGTGCCGCTGCAACAGGCTGGTGAGCGGCAGCAACGCGAAGCGCATCCGCCTGTGGGCAGTGGGGGCCACGCAGGAGCTGAGGCCGAAGGGGCCCAAGGCCAGGTAGGTGAGCTCCAGCATCTGCCCTGCTTGCACCCACCTCGTGCTGTGCTCCTCACGTGCTCTTCCCCTCATCTGGGGGCTGTGTCTGAAAGGTGGCTTTTCACAGATGCGTGAGCTCTGCCCACAGCCGTGCTGCTGCTCTTCATCCTTACCTTCCCTCCATCCCTTCACTCTTGACTCTTCCTGCATGGTCGTTTTTATTGGATTTTTGCTAACAGTTCAATCTTCTTGGTATTGGAAATGGGTGGAGTTTAAGTCAGTGGCTTGTAGAAGCTCCTTTAAAAGAATGAAAATATTACCTTTGTTTCCTCTTTATGCTACTGCATCCCCTGTTTTGCTTCTCTCCTATCAGCAATGATCTCTGTGCAGCACCAGGCACTGCAGCGTTCGGGTGCCCCACACTGAACAACTGCTTTCTAAATACTGTGCATACTACAAAATTGCATTTAAAGGAGGCAGTGTCTTCCAATAGTTGAGTGTTCCCTCTCGGATCTTCCCTTCCTCCAGACCTAGCTCAGTCCTGCTAGAACATGAGATCACCCTGGATGGGACGATAGTCAGCATGGCCTTCGATGACTCTTTAGAAATGGGGATTGTGGGCACCACAGCAGGAACACTGTGGTACATCAACTGGAAGGAGAGCACAAGCATCCGGCTCATCAGCGGCCACAAAAGCAAGGTTTGAGGGGCAGGGATGGTTGTGCTTTGCTACGTGGAGCAGCGGGTGTTCTGCATCATGCTTGTGCCCAAGGGGTTGTGCTCCAGGCATTCGCATGCTCAGCTGCTTCAGCCTCAGGTGTTTCTCAGCCTCAGCCTGTGAGGAGCTGTGGGTCTTTCTGCCGGAGTGGAAAATGCAGCTGGCTGAGTCACTGAGGTTTAATTGTGGAGTGCTGCAATGTGTGGAAGCAGCCTGGTTGCTGAACACCCGTAATGGAGAATTTTCTTTGCCTAAAACACGAAGATCTAAACTGGAAGATCTCAAGTGGTGGAAGATCTTTTACTCAGATTTATGTTGTGTAGTGCCTGGTTTAGCTTTGTGGTTAGGTTTAATGATTTCCATTGCAAGCCTGGCTGTCAGTCCCAGATTTCTTCTAAGCACAAAAATTAAACAACTCTCCTTCCTTTACATATGGGGCTTCATGTTTGGAGGAGTCCTGGGGAGCGGGAGGGGAAGAGGGGCTGATGTGCTGCAGGCTGTGTTATTTGTAGGGCTCCTGTTCCCCATCTCCCTCCTTGCTGCAGGTGACCGAGGTGTCCTTCAGTCCTGATGAGACTCTCTGTGCCACGTGTGGGGAAGATGGCAGCGTGAGGGTTTGGTCCCTCAGCAGAATGGAGCTGGTGGTACAGTTTCAAGTGCTGAACCAGGTAATCCTTTGTGGCACTTCAGTCTTTTTGTCTGGGTAGAGGATGCAGTCTGACTGTTTTGGACTGCAAGGACTGCTGTGTCCTCACAGACCAACCTGAAGCTGAAGAAATACTTGCAGGTGGAGCCTTAAGTGCATTTGCTGTGCACAGTCCTGCTGTCTGCACTGTCATCATCTCTCTTCCCTGGTTCCTTTGCAGAGTTGCCAGTGCCTGGCCTGGAAGCCTCACCCCAACGTTGCATGGGAAGCTGAGAGTCAGCATGTGGTGGCAGGATACAGTGATGGCACCATCCGTGTCTTCAGTATTTCCAGGACAGAGATGGAGCTGAAAATGCACCCCCATGCCACCGCACTGACAGCAATTGCCTACTCCACAGATGGTGAGATTGCTTGTTGTAACAGCAGGGATGTTGCCTGGGGAGCACAGCTCGCTTTTATCAGGGTTACCCAAGCACAGGTCTTGCCTCCAAAAACCTGCACAAAAAGCTGGGCCCAGGGAGAGCTCGTACCAATGGACTTTGGCAGACCTGTCAGTAGAGCACATGGTAAATGGGTTTTGGCAGATATATTGGCAGTGATACAAGCAAGTAGTTTGGATGCAGCAAATATTCCTTTTTGTCTTCCTGTTTACAAGCTGCTTTGGCTCTTGTTTGGATGTGATTTAGCGTGTGTCCCTGAAACATCTGATCTTACCCAGCTCTTTGTTCAGATGTTCCCAATCTTTCAGGTGTTTTGGGACTCTGCCGTCCCACGATATCAGACTCTTCTATAAGAATTATCCCGTTCTCTTCTCTCCTTTGACCACAGGAGAAATGATCTTATCAGGGGGCAAGGATGGAATCGTGGCTGTCAGCAGCCCTCGCACTGGAATGACCATCCGCATCCTTGCTGACCACAAAGGCTCTGCTATCACCGTCCTGCAGTGCATCAGGAAGCAGGTAAGACCTGCCTCTGTGTCCCAGCACCGTGTAGGAGTGAGGTCCCTGCGCTGTGGGAGGGAGCAGCAGCCTGGCTGGGTCAGTTGTCCCTCTCTTTTTAGGCCCAGCACCTCCAGTAACTTCTGTTGGCTTTTTTTTTTTTTTTTCAGGGATAGCTTCAGTGGAGAAAAGCCACTGCATTGCTCTCGGGTTGCCTGAGAGGGTGGGCAGACACTCTGTGCATGCACTATGGGCCCTCCAAGAGCAGCATCCCTTGAGGGCAGCCTGGGCTGGCCCATGCCCCCACTAACAGCCTTGATGCGATTTCCCCACTCCACTCCTTAGCAGCCTGGCTCTGTGTGTGTATCTGGCTCTTTGTGGGGTTGCTCTGTGAAGCCAGAAGGCTTGTTAGTCCAACAGTGGGGTGTTTTTAGCATCTTTTGTATTTCCCTCCATGGAGGGTCTCTTTGTCCTCTTTGTGACTTCCTGAGATGACAATAACTTTGCCTAAGCTCTCTGACTTTAAAATCTGCAGAAGGCTGCAAAGCTGTTTTTCCTGGTGGCTGTGGAATGAGGAGGTCTTCCTCTGCTTTAGGTGAAGAACACGTACTGTATCTGCAGTCTCCTAGGAGATGCTCAGATCAGGTGTCCAAGGGAAGAGATGTGTATCGTTCTGGCCAGGCACTCACTCCTCTTCTGCCAGGGCTTTCAGCCCAGAGCTTGCTGCTGGCTCTGCAATCACTGCTTCCTTGTCCTATTTTATTGTGATAAATGACTTTAAGCACTGCTCAGATGAGAGAATCCAGGAGATTAATCCCGGCATTAATCCCTTGTATTCCCATGAAGTCATGCCCTCTGCTAGTTCTTGCTAACAGCTTTCTTTAAAGCTTCTGCACTGCAAGAGCCGTGATGTTGCTTTTGTCTTCTGTAGTACCATGACTTTGGGGTGGAAGGAGCTGAGCTGTGGCTGGCTACCAGCTCAGACCGCCGGGTCAGCGTTTGGGCCTCCGACTGGCTGAAGGATAAGTGTGAGCTCCTCGACTGGCTTAGCTTCCCTGCTCCTGCCAGCCCCGAGGTGAGTGTTCTGCCCCCCCACTCACGTCCCTGTCTTGGCACCATGCAGCCCCAGTCCCTTCAGCACGCTCTCCCTGGCTGTAGATGGGATGCTGAAGCATCCTAACCCCATCCAAAGTCACGTGAAACCATCCTGTCAGCTCAGTCCAGTGTGTTTACATGTGTTGTTTCAGTCACCCAGGAGGGGAGGGATGCCTCGAGGCTTTGAGAAGGATGGGTGCAAACAGTGAGTCCGCTTAGCAAGGTGATTTTCATGGGTTCTGCTGCTCGTGGGATATCTTACTCGTGCACCTTTGAGGTGTTGACAGGCAGTGTGAGCTGCTTATGGTGCTCCTTAACCACTGGGAAGCACTGATTGTATGAGCAAGAAGAGAAAAAACTGCGTTCACACAGCTGATACTCCTGTGCTGTGTGAAACTGAGCACAGCCAGGAGCCAGCACAGGCAGTGTGCAGATGAGAGACCTAACGATGAGCATCCTGCTGATTGACACTGCCAATGAGCTGAATATCCTGAACCAGGAGCCCAGTGACTGTGAACAGAGCCAAATACTCCTGCTCCAGCCCTGAGTCTCCGTTACTTTGCAGAGCTGGCTGCAGACCAGTCAAAGTCAGGGATCTGAGCAGAATGATGTTGCTAGAAAACGGAGGGGTTCTGTATGGGACAGGATATTGGCCCCTTGTGTACCTGACATTGGCATGCAAGAGGAAGGTGGGCTTTTCTGATCCTCACCTGCTGCCCCCAGGCCCACGCACACTGCAGGCTGTTCCAGGTCTCCCCATGGTGAATTTGGGAAGGACTGATCTTGCATCCCATACTAACGATGTATCTTTTGGGCTCTATTTGCTTTGTGTTGAAACTAATCCATTAATCCAGCCCAACCTTCAAGCCCACGCAGGAATAATGTCATGGTGGAAATTCTGCCTGTTGGACTCTCGTGTGTCCTGCTTCCATGACAGTAAACAACGAGCTTCAGGTTTCCATGGCAGTGTGTGTTTGCTCCTTGTTTCTTTGCAGTGAGCAGGGCTGAGATGGCAATGAGAGAGGGAGAAAACAGCCTTTTTGTATCATATGAATTTTCTGGTGCTTGTACACCTACAGCCCAATGGCTGGTAACTGCTCCGTGCTCTCCTTTGCTCCCTGCCGTGTTGTGTTGGGCTGGAAAAGCTAGCCTCAGTTTGGTTCCTTTTGGTTTCCCCTGCCAGGGTCATGGCAGCCTGCCACCCAGCCTGGCTGCGTTCTGCCCTTGGGAGCATGGAACTTTGGTCTATGTTGGCTTTGGGATGCAGAAGGAAGCCCTGTTTTACAGCCTGCGCAAGAAACAGGTATTTGTACCCTCCCTGTGCATCGTGCCCAGGCAGCATGTGCTCTATTGCATGGCTTTGTTGAACGAGATGGGGGGGAGGCAGTGCTCCCCATCTCCCTCGAAGGGCCTGCAACATAAGGCAGGGGCTTGCAGATGAGCCCCTCTTTCTGCAGGGGGAGAGCTGGACCCCCTCTTGACCCAAATGACAGCTCCCACTGCAGTATCCACTCCTGCTAATAGGAGCTGCAAGTAATACAAGCTTTAGGTTTTGAAATTGGTTCAGCAAGCAGCTGGGCAGTGTGGCAGCTTTTCACTCAGAAACTCCAGCTCTGGCCCCAGGCCCCTGGGCAGGCTGCCAGTCACTGATGCTGCTTCTGGAGGGGAAGGTGTTTGCTTTTGGGAGCGCTAACAGTCTCTAAATTGTCATGTCACCTCTTGAAGGGGGGTGCCTTTGGCAGGTTTTTGAGCCTGGAGAGAGGTTGTGCATCTGTCAGCCTCCCCACGGAGGAGGAGCCCTTTACCCTCCTGAAGGTGTCACTTAGGCAGCTGTTTTGCTGCCTGCTCAGTTCTGAGATGTTGCTGTGCTTCTCTTGCTGGAGCACAGGTCGTTGAGAAGATCTCCCTGCCATACTTTGCCACGTCCCTGAGCCTGTCTCCTGCAGCACGCTTCATGGCTGTCGGCTTCAGCGGTGAGTACCAGCCAGTGCTGTGGGCTCTGCTCGTCCCCCCAGGTGTGTCATCCCAGGAACAACAGCCCTGGGAGGGAAGTATCTGCCCTGCTCCAGGGCAGGGTAGAGTGTGTCAGGCAGGGAAAAAACATAGAAGTGGTAAGGTTGGAAAAGAACACTCAGATCATCTACTCCAACTGCCCACTTCCCTCAGTGCCACATCCCCAGGGTTCTGGAACACCTCCATCACTGAGCAGCAGTGCCACTGTAGCATTGCTCTTTCTGAGCAGAAATGTTTCCTAACATTCAGAATGGCCTGGGTTGGAAAAGACCTCAAGGATCACGAATCTCCAAACCTCCCTGCCACATGCAGGGCCACCAGCCTCCCCATTTCATACCAGCCCAGGCTGCCCAGGGCCCCATCCAACCTGGCCTTGAACACCTCCAGGGATGGACGGGGCATCCACAGCCTCTCTGGGCAGCTGTTCCAGCACCTCACCACTCTCACAGCAAAGAACTTCCCCTGACATCCAACCTCAGTCCTGCCTCTTTCAACTTCAAACCATTTCCCCTTGTCCTGCTGTTATCCACCCTTTTCAGGAGCTGACTCCCCTCCTGTCTGTAGGCTCCCTTTAGGTACTGCAGGCTGCAATGAGGTCACCCCCAGCCTTCTTTGCTCCATGCTGAACAAGCCCAGCTCCCTCAGCCTGTCTTTGCAGTGGAGGTGCTGCAGCCCCTGATCATCTCTGTGGCTCCCCTGCACCCTCTCCAACAGCTCCCCGTCTTGCTTGGCCTGGGGGCTCCAGCCCTGGACGCAGTGCTGCAGACGGGGCCTCACAAGAGCAGAGCAGAGAGGGACGCTCACCTCCCTGTCCCTGCTGCCCACCCCTCTGCTGATGCAGCCCACGATCCCGTTTGCTTTCCCAGCTGTCATCACACACTGCTGCCTCACGTTCGGCTTTTCAGCCATCAGGACCCCCAGCTCCTTTTCTGGAGGGGGCTGCTGGCTTCCTTTCAGGAGCTGTAGAGGAGCAGTAATATCTCTTGAGCCTTCTCCAAATGAACCACCCCCCACCCTCAGGCTCTGACCCCAGCGTGTCTCCCCACAGAGCGGCTCCTCCGGCTGCAGCGCTGCCCTGCCGGCCTCCCCCAGGACTACGCCGCTCACGACGACGCCGTCCACCTCTGTCGCTTCGCTCCCGCCGGCCGCCGCTTGCTGACGGCCTCGCACAGCGCGGTTCTCGTCTGGGAGCTGCTGGGCGCCTGAGGCGGGGTGGCCTCGTTGCGGGCCGGGCTGCGGCTGTACGCCAGGCCCCGGCTCAGCCCCCCAGCTAGGCCGCAGGCCCTGCGGCGGGTCGTGGGACGCTCCGGGACTGCTGTGCTGTGCTGTGCTGTTTATTTATGACGCGATTTGTTGCTCTATTTTTATGGGGGGTAATAAAAAAAGACGAAACGCGAGGGTAATACCTCCGACCGGCGGGGGGCGCTGTGCTGGTAGCGCCGCTCTATCCCCCACCACTGGCTGGTTGCCACCGGAAGCGGCACTGGCGGCGGCGGCGACCCCGGGAGCGGCGGCGGTGCCGCCATGAAGCGGGACGTGCGGATCCTGCTGCTGGGGGAGGGTAAGGGCGGACAGCGGTGCCGGGGGGGGAGGAGAGGCCGGGCCGCTGCGGTCCCCGCGGTGCTGAGGCCGGTGGCAGCGGTTTCTCGCCGCGGTGTGGGCCTCCCTTGGGCCCTGCGGCGTCGGGCCGGGAACGGCCGCTGAGGCCGGGTGTGTGCGGCTCCGTGCGGCGCCAATGTTTCCCCTTTCTTTCCTAGCCCAGGTGGGGAAGACGTCCCTGATCATGGCTCTGGTGGGAGAGGAGTTCCCCGAGGAGGTGAGCGCGGAGCTGCAGGGCGGCGCTGGCACCGCTGTGTCCGGCTGCGGCCCCAGGCGTTTGGAGGCGGAGCGGTGCTTTCTCCGTGCCCCCACCCATGCGGCGTCTCCGTTTGAGTGCTGTTCCTCTGGGGCCTCGTTCCCTGCTGCTCCCTCGGGGGCTTTGCAGCCTCATCGCAGTACCGCAACAGAGCCCATGGAAGGGGCCGGGCCACGCCTGCCTTCCTGCGTGGCTGGAGCAGGGCCTGGCACTCTGAGCAGGGCTGTCACTGTGGTCTCCAGCCTGCCTACACGTGCCCCTCTGGGCCTCTGGCTGTGTGGCTTGCCGTCCCATCCCAGCTTGGATGAAGAAGGGGCACTGTACTGCTCCACCAGCAGCCTGCCTGCAGGCAGATAGTGCTCACTGGGAAGCATAAGCTTGCAGGGGAGCAACTGGTTTCCAGCACCTTTCTGTGTTTCACAGCAAAGCCCAGGCAATCAGCTTAGCCTGTCTCCAGCTGCCAGGAGGTCAGGCTGGAGCTAGGGGAGCACTTGAGGGCTTAGTGTGGGGGTGGCAGCTCTGATTTTTTTTTTAAGTGCTGCTTTCATGACGGGACACAGGGCTGTGTCTCCAGGCAGTGCTCAGGGCTGAGAGGCCATCAGATTTCATTGTGTGAGGAGCAGGCAATAGCACACATCAGCCTGCTGCAGCTCTCAGCAGGCAGGGAAGCAATCTGCGGGCAGGAGTCACCCTTCCTGGGCATGAGCTACATTGATGAGTGCCTCATCTCCCATCCTCACCATTGCTTGGTCTGACTGGCTGCTTCATGCAGCAGAACAGAGTGCCTGCTTTGTAGGTGCCACCTCGTGCAGAAGAGATCACGATCCCGGCTGATGTCACACCTGAGAAGGTCCCCACTCACATTGTAGACTACTCAGGTGAGACTGTCTTGTTCCCTGCTGGCCTCTCTTCTCCTTGCATACCTGCAGCAAGCAGGAAGGGTGCTGCCCGTACTGCAGCAGCCATTGACAGTGGGTGGTGACAGTTCTTCTCCCTTTCCAGAGACAGAGCAGACTGAGGATGAGCTACAAGAGGAGATTGCTAAGGTGAGCGGGGCTGGATGGGGCATCGCAGGGCAGAAGGCTGCACTGCCATGAGCCTGCCCATGACATGTGACTGCTCTCTCTTTCCATTAACCACCCAGAGATGTGCAGGCAGTTGGTTATCTGCGGATTAACGCTAGCAGTTTGTTTAGCACTTTGTTTAATCCTTCTCTGTGTTGTAAGCTGTTACAGGGCTTGTCCTCGCCTTCTGGAGAGCCACCAGAAGGTGAGCAGAGGGGGGCAGCTCCCTCCTGACCAGTAGGTAGAGGAGGCTGCTGAGCACGTGGTGTGCTTCCAGTCCTGGGATGTTCCCAGGAGGTGGAGGGGAGCAGCAGTTGTTGATGAGACCCTCTGCTCCCTGCTTGAGGTCCCTGTGGCTGTCTGATAAAGCAGTGACACAGAGGTGGTGTTTTGGGAGATGGAGCCCTGGGGCATATTGGCCAGGGAGGAGAAAGAATCCATCCAACTGGCCCTGCTGCTTTCCTTCACTTTGGGATTAATTTTGGCTCCTTCAAGAGGAGGGTGTCTTGATAGTATGTAACAAAGCCCTCTCCCCCCCTGTGCATCTCACAGCAAAACTTCTGCATTGTTCCACCTTGGCATCTAACAGCTGAGGAGGTGGGCCATGGGCACTGGGCTCCTGCTCCCTCTGCCCAGACAGGAGGAATGTCCTGAGATGCTTAAAACAGCTCCAGAAAATCCTGCCTAAACCCTTGTGCATCCCTGGGATTAGCACTAAACTCTCCCCTGAAAGGGCCAGTGATCCCTTCTGTCTGCTTGAAAGAAATCGTCAGTGTCAGTGCTGTCTGTGCAGGGCTGGGAGGGGGAGGTCAGCAGCTGCCAAACTGTGTGTGTGGAAGTGGGGGAGTTGAGGGGTCAAGTGCAGGGAGGGGAAGGAGTGGTTCCCATGCACAACCAAATGGAGAAGGGGACCCTGGCTGCCTGGCACAGGGCTGGCACCCCAAGAGCATCACTTGGGAGAGCATGGCGTGGTGATGGCTGTGCTGGTGGCTGTGGGATGAGGCCTGAAGCAGAGAGAAGTGAGGCTGTGCTCCCGGCATCCCACTGCAGAGCTGGGGTTGGGCAGCAGCGAGGCGTTGTGGTCAAAGGGCTCCTCTGCCTTTGCCCTGCCTTTAGGCTTGGGCTGAGCAGCTCTGTGTGCTGCCACCACCCTGCCTGGTTTGGTATGGCTGTTGTGTGGCTGGCATGGCCACACGTGTGCCCTTCCTCTTCTATGGAGGCTTTACATGCAGGGAGGAGCAGGGGTGGGAGCTGCCATGTGCTTTCTGCCGATGTGGGGAAGGAAAACATCTATGCTGTGCCAAGAGCTGAGAAGGGAGATTCTGCATGCTGGCACAAAACAGCTGAGGTTATAGCTGATGTTGTCCAGTTCCCAGCAAGCCTGCAGGCAGCATGTGCGTTGTGTTTTTGTGGGTACTGCTCATGCATTCTAAACCACAGCTGCTGGGTGTTAGTGCATGCGCAGTGGCAGCATTTGGGGCTGGAGCTGCCTGAGCTTGGAAGGCTTCCCTGCCATTGTGAGAGCACCAGGACTTTTTCTCACTCCTTTTCTGCTTCTCTCTTGCAGGCCAATGTGGTCTGTGTGGTGTATGATGTCACCAAGGAAGCCACGATTGAGAAGGTAACGTGTCCCCTTTGGGAGCCTTGAAATGCCCCCAGCCCTCCAGAGCTTTTGGGGTTTGGGACTCCTGCAAGCAGAGACAGGCTGAACACAGCCTGGGCTTGCTCCCACGCTGGCAATTGTCCGTCTGTGCTGGAGGCAACAGGCCTGTCACATCTTTCTGCTGGCATACAGCATCCCTGGGTTTGCTCTGCCTGCTGGTGCGGGGGAATGCTGGGGAGCAGATGGCTGCAGGGCCCTGCTGACAGCCACGCTGTGTGCACTGGGAGCTGCCTCTCCCTCCCCAGTCTGCTCTCACAGGTCCTTCTCTGTGCTTGCCTTGCAGATTCGCGCAAAATGGATCCCCATGGTGAACGGGGGAGCTGAAAAGGGTGCCAGGTACTGCGGGCAGAACTGGGAGATTGCAGGGCCCTCACTGCCTTTGTTGCCTGTGGAGGTTGCTCAGATTGAGCCAGCTGTGCAACCAGTGGTTAGACCACTTGCAGCAGAAGAATGTGGGGGCTTTTCTCCCTTGTGGGTCTAGCTGAGTCAGAGGGTCACAGGAGAAGGCTTTCCCCCTCCCCCCACCTTCATGTCTCACTGGCAAGGCAAGAAGAGGGAGGCTGCTAAGGGAGGATGGCAGCACAGAAGCCATAGGCTGCATGTGGGTCGCTTAGACAGAAGGCTGCTGCGTTGGATTAAAAGCTCCTGAACATATTGCTGCTGGGTGAAAGCGTAAGCAGGATCAGGCAGTCTGTTTCTCCAGATGGATGCTCCCAGCTGTAGGAAGCAGGAAAGCTGTTCTGGACCTTGCAGAGGAAGGCAGGGAGGCTCCCTGGGCGGCTGTGCAGCAACGTGTGCAGCTGGAGCCCAGCTGAGGCTGGTGGAGGGGTGGCCCCACTCGTGCTCTCTGACCCACCATCTTTCTCCCCCAGGATCCCCATTATTTTAGTTGGAAACAAGTCTGACCTGCAGATGGGGAGCTCCATGGAAGTCATCCTGCCCATCATGAACCAGTTCTCGGAGATTGAGACCTGTGTGGAGGTGAGGGACCTGAGTGTTTATGAAAAGCCTCTGTGAGGGGTAGGAGCACGTGACTCTTGGCCAGGGGAGCCTTCATGTTTTGGGGGATCTGCCCCACTAGTGTTGCTCTGCAGAATGACCTCAGCCTGAGCCTCAAGGGCCTGTGCTTTATGCTTTCTGTGCTTTGCTTTCCACACATAGAGTGGGTTTTGGTGTCTGCCCTGTCTAGCTGTAAACAGTGCTGGAACTGCACACAGCCCATGTAGGCTCTGAGGCACAGCAGAGCCTGAGTGTGTGCAGGAGGATTCCACTTTGTTTTCTTCCTGATGCTGGACAGAGATTGCTCTGTGCTTTCATGCATTATTTCATGGCTTGGAGAGCTCCTGTCAACCTCCTCCCCACTGTCACAAGCCCGTTGCCCACTCATAGCATTGTGTCTTCCTTTGAACCCACAGTGCTCTGCCAAGAACCTCAAGAACATCTCTGAGCTCTTTTACTACGCCCAGAAAGCTGTGCTGCATCCCACTGCACCCCTCTATGACCCGGAAGAGAAGCAGGTAGGAATCTGCTCACTGCTCCTGGAGGTGTCTCTGCCCATCACACCTGTGGGGTCACAGAGTTCCAGACTGGTGCTGTGCCTTTTACCCCTGGGAAGGATGTGGAGAATTTGTGCCAAAGTAGCAAGAAGGGGAAAGCAGTTACCCCTGGGGGGAGCCAACAGAGGAGGAAAGAGTTCTCCCTGTTAAGTGCAGCCAGATGAGAGTACACTGACCAGAGATATCTGCAGGAGCCCTCGTGCTCCAGACTGTGTGGTGGGAGGAGTCCAAGGGAAACCTTCCCTGTGGGCCGTCATGCTTCTGACCTCCAGCTTCAGCATGGCTGTGGTGCTGGCCTACCTGAGCCACGCTCCCATTGCAGGAAGGGCTTTGGGGTTTAGGAGGCAGAGGAAAGAGCCACACCGAATGCAGTGCCCTGGTTTTGTTACTATGGTTGGTCCCTTGCAGCTGAGACCTGCGTGTTCACGAGCGCTGACCCGGATTTTCAACCTCTCAGACCAAGATAATAACCAGATCCTCAGCGATGATGAACTCAACTACTTTCAGGTAGGGTTGGTGTGGAGCTGCAGTATCTCCCGGTCCTTCTTGGATGCTGGTGAGACAGAGGGTTTCTGCTGTCCATGTGCTGGCTCACAATGACCTCCTGTCTCTTGGGAGGTAGAAGTCCTGCTTTGGAAACCCTCTGGCTCCCCAGGCCTTGGAGGATGTGAAGATGGTTGTGTGGAAGAACACCACGGACGGAGTGCAGGACAACGGCCTGACGTTAAATGGTAACAGCACGGGGACTGTCTGCTCCTTCACTGCAAGGAGTGGATGGATCCACCTCCTTCAGCATCTTGCAGAGGGGCCCTGTCACCAGGCTGAGCCTCCTGGATCTCGATCCAGGCCTAATGAAGCAAACTTGAGCCTGCTATGGCTATGTGAAGCTTTCTGTCCAAGCGTGGTTTTTCCGGTGAACGCGTACTCCTGAGACAAAGATCCCTGAGGCTGAATCCCAGTCTGGCCCCTGTTGTCTGAGCTGCTTGATCTCTCCCCCACAGGCTTCCTCTTCCTCAACACGCTCTTCATCCAGAGGGGCCGCCATGAGACCACATGGACTATCCTTCGCCGCTTTGGCTACGATGACGAGCTGGAGCTGACAGATGATTACCTGTACCCACAGTGCGTATCCTGGCGTGGAGTGGGGCTGGCAGGGTGTGACAACCCCGTGGTGTACAACTCAGTACCCTGACTTCTGCATTGCTCGGCTGAGGTTGAATCTGCACCCTGAGCTTACGGCTGTGTTCACGCTCCTCACCTTTCCCTATGGTCACGAGCTGGGAACAGGGGGTTGGCAATAATGTGAAGGCCTTGAAGTTGTTAACTGTGCTGTTGGCTGTGACGTAGGTGGGCAAAGAACAGAGCGATGAAGGCTTGTCCCTGACTTGCCTTGACATCAACAAGGGACTTTTGAAGGCTGTTCTGGTCTCTGCCTGAGCCGAGCTGTCAGGAGCCGTGAGCAGTCAGCATAGCCTTCCTGGCTGATTCTATAGCTGCTGTCTCTTCTCTGCTCCCTGCCACCCTGGAGGTGGTGATCTGGCAGTAATGAAAGGCTTTGGCTGTGAGCTGCCTCATCTTCTCCCCAGAGAGCAGGCAGTGGTGGAAGACAGCAGGGCCCATGCTGATGGAAAGCACCGTGTCTAGAGCTGTGCCCTTCTGCAGCCCTGAGTGTGAGGCTAAGCAAAGCTCCCAATCTGGGAGGTGGTGCAGATGTATTGAGGGGAGCCTGCTCCACACGCTCAGCACCTTCTCCCTAAAGCCAGGGAACAGCCAGGCCTAGGGACAGCCACTGGCCACGGGCAGGGAGGGACTGTGGAGCCCTGTGCTCTGGCTGAGACGTGGCTTTGCAGAGGACCTGCTGACACACTGCCCTTCGTTCAGGGAGCGAGGAGGTGCTGGAGCTGCTCACTTGGGTCTCTCCTGGCAGGTTCCGCCTGCCTCCTGGCTGCTCCACGGAGCTCAACCACCTGGGCTACCAGTTCCTGCAGCGGCTCTTCGAGAAGCATGACAAGGTGTGCAGGGCGCCGTGTAGCTTCTTGCTGAGGCTTGGGTGGTGGCAGTGAGCTGCAGGTACCTCACTGTGGCTGCACATCGGGGCCGTGGGACTGGGGTCACCCCCCTTGACCAAAGAGCAGGTGGTAAAGTGTGGGCCTTTGGGATCTGAGCTGGTGTCAGCCGTGCAGTGTGACCGTCTGTGGCGCACAGGGTGATAGGGAAAGTGATCAGAGCTGCTGGTCTGCAACCACAAACTAAGCAGAAGTGTCCACGCAGCTGGCAGCCCCGTGGAAGGGGTGCTGGGCTGCAGAGAGGGAATGAAAGCAACTAATTTGTGCCGTGCTCTGGCTCTTTGGAGAGCGAGGGAAGGGCCTGTCTTGGATGTGCATGCATCTGATCTAATTATTTACATGTTGGTATGCATCTGGGGTATGGTGGCCCCATGGGAGCTGCAGCACTGAGTCGAAACATGTCTCTGTGTGCCCAGATGCCAGCAGATCCTCTGTGGTGTGGCCCTGTGGCATGCCTACCCTGAAGCTGCTATGTTGGCGTGTGGTTGTTTGGAGGGCTCACCGACTGCTTGCAGACCTCAGGCTGCTTTCCCTGCAGCACAGGCCTGCAGCATGGCAGGACCAGCAACTCAGGGCTGCAGGGTGCATGTGAACAGGTCCTTCCCAGTGGCAGAGCTGGTGGTGGCTCCAGTTTTAGTCACAGAACAGAATCCCCTCTGGCAGTGCCTGTTAGTTGTACAGTGATGAGTGTCCCTGGGGTTCAGGCTCTTTGTGCAGTCACGCAGCTGTGGCCTCGCTTGCAATTGATGTCTGCTATTGAAAGGATCCCTGTGTCATTCTGCAGCAGGAAATGAGTTGGCTTCAGTGTGCCAGAACCCCTAGAGAGGGGTCCCTGACAGCACTTGATGTGACTGTAGAGAGCTGCTGTGTGCATGTAGCCTGTGTCCTTCCTCAGCTGCTGACTCCCACTTGTTTTGGCAGGACCAGGATGGAGCCCTCTGTCCTGCAGAGCTGCAGAACTTCTTCAGTGTCTTCCCCTGCATGCCCTGGGGCCCTGAGCTCTACAACACGGTATGCACCACTGATAAAGGCCTGCTTTCCCTGCATGGATTTCTCTGCCAGTGGACGTAAGCTCAGTCCCTCTCCCACGTTGTTAATCCTGTCACGTAGTGCTTGCTGACCTTGTCAGCATCCCCCTGACCAGCTTCCCAATGCTCTCTGTCTCTCCAGCCTCGTAGCCTACCTGGATGTGCAGCACTGCCTGGAGTGCCTCGGCTACCTGGGCTACCCCATCCTGTCGGAGCAGGACTCCCAGACTCAGGCCCTCACAGGTACAGCAGTGCTCTCACCTCCTGAAGTTTGGTGTTCCTCCTCGCACTCACCTGCCCTTACTTTTGCCAGTGACCAGGGAGAAGAGGATTGACTTGGAGAAAGGCCAGACCCAGAGAAACGTCTTCCTATGCAAGGTGCTGGGAGCCAGGGGCGCAGGCAAGTCTGCCTTCCTGCAGGCCTTCCTCGGCAGGAGCCTCGTGGTGAGTGGCTGCTCCCCTCTCTGGTGGAGCAGGAGGCAGAGCGTGAGGCTGCTGAGCAATCTGCTGTGTGCCAGCACCTTCCTGCCCTGGCCAGGGCCGGCGTCCCAGCGCAGGGCTTTGTACCACCCCTCTACGCTGTGGCTCTTGCCCCTTTAATTTGCGTAAGGCTGTGGGTCCCCTCCCTCTGCTTGTCCCAAGGATTCTGAGAGGCTGTTTCTTTCCTGATCTGACCAAGGTGATGCTGGTTTTTCCCTGCTCATTGCTAACGGCCCTTGTCTCGTGGCAGACTCTGGCTGGCTTTCAAGGGCAGTGGCTGTTAGACCGCAGGGATCAGAGCAGCGTGAAGTGTTCTCCCTCCCCTAAGCACTCTCCCTGCTGTCTGAGACGGTGTTTTCATCCATGGCAGGTCCAGAGGGAGGACCCAGGAGAGCCATCTCTCTACACGATCAATACCGTGCAGGTCAACGGCCAGGAAAAGTACCTCATAGTAAGTGTGGGAGAGGGGGGCATTGCTGCTACGTCTGCCTGGCCGCAGCCGCAGGCAGCAGGGCTGGGCTGTGTCCACCCGTATCACACCATCATAGCACCCCTGTGCTGTGCTGTGCCCATGGCTGTGTTACACTGCATCATCTGTGTGTCGATGTGAGACTCGGCTCCATCTCCTCACGGCAGTGCTGTGCCCCCTGTCCCTTCCTTTCCTGCTCCAGCTGCACGAGGTCAGTGCTGAGATGCAGTTCACAAAGGCGTCGGACGCAGCCTGCGACGTTGCCTGCTTGATCTATGACCTGAGTGACCCCAAATCCTTCAGTTACTGTGCCAGTATTTATAAGGTGAGTGCAGGCACCCTGGGAGGCATCGGCCTTTTGAGTGGCAGCCCTGCATTTCCCAGGAGGGTGCAGGAGCAGCCTTGCCCTGCCCACGCCTCCAGGAAGCGCTGCTGCCTGCCCAGCCCTCCTGCCTTGGTCCCCTCTTGGCTGGGGAGCCCTTGTGATTCCCTCCCTGGAGATCCATAGGGCAGTGGCCAGTTATTCACCCTTTGCCTTCTTCCTCTGCCTGCAGCAACACTACATGGACAGCCAGATCCCCTGCGTTTTTGTGGCCTCCAAGGCAGACCTGCCAGAAGCAAGCCAGCAGCCCGGGCTGTCCCCAGCTGAGTTCTGCTACAAGCACTGCCTCCCACCACCATTCCTCTTCTCCTGCCACAGCCAGGGCCCGCCCAGCACTGCTGTCTACACCAAGCTGGCCACTGCTGCCACATTCCCGTTAGTATCCGTGCCACGCAGGGGGCTGTTGGCTGGGAGCTGAGGGCAGGAAGCTGCAGTTTCCCCACCCTGCATTCCATGTGGTTTCTCCCGAGCTCTTGGTATCATCTGCTTATGTGATTAATGGGAACAAAAGGGCCGCTTTTTTCCCCCGATATGAGAGGGCGAAGGGACTCAAGTGTCTTCTGCCTCATGCAGCCCTCTGGCAGATTTATTGGATAAGCTCTGATGGCAGGATCTTTGTTTTTTGAAGGCTGAGATAAAAAAGTGCTGAAAGGTGAGTAGCCAGCCTAGTGTGCCAGCGCCTGCAGGGAGGAGGAGGTGGCTGTTTTCTCCTGATCAGCAGCAGCAAAGAGATCAGAGGAGCAGGACCTCAGGATGCTTTGGGAAGGAGCTGCTCCTGAAGGGGGCTGGGCAGCACGGTGGGGGCTCTGCCCTTTCCAGGAGAGCACGTGGGTGCGTTGGAGGACAGGATGGGATTACCAGTGAGTGGTTTTCCCTTTAGCTTTTTCAATAAACAACTTTATTTTTAGAGCCAACGCTCTTTTTTTTTTTTTTTCTTTTTTTTTTCTCTGCAGTATTAAAATTTAAATATTCTTTATATATCTTAGGGTATTTGGTATAAATAAATAACAGCGTAACGGAGGGCCGGGGATTGGCTCTTCTCCTCCCCATTTAGTGGAGAATGAATAATGGATACGTCTTTTCTCCTCGTCGAGGAGCTCAGTGATGCAGGGCAGCACGTGTTTAGGAAGGGAGTGTGCACGATCAGAGGGCACAGGGCCCTTCCCTCCCTGTCCCCAGCTCAGTACCGTGGCTGCTGCTGATTTTCTCACCCCTGTGCCAGCATTGCTGCACCCGCTTCTGGGGCTCTCTGCACTTGGAGCTGTAAAAGCAGCCTGACCTAGAAAGGAAGATGAGTACCTCCTTGCTGGTACTAATTATTTAGATGTTGGTGTGCTATTTCAGGGCTGTGGGAGGGTGAAGGCTGCCTCCCTTCCACCAGCCATCGTCGGGTTTGATGGTGATGCCGCGTGGCGGGCGCTCGGTGTGCGGGGCCGGGAGCCTCGCGGTGCTCAGTGCTGCACCAGCACCTTTGGATGGGGTTTGTTCCCTGGAGCTGAGCTGTGCCATCCTGAGAGCTGTCAGGCTCGTTTGGACACCTGTCTCCTTTCACATCACTCACCCATCTTTTCTCTCTTCCCTTGCAGCCACCTGAATGCTGTGGAGCTGGGAGCTGCGTCCTTCTGGCTCCGGGTGGCCCTGGGGGCTGCAGTCACTGCCCTGGTGGGCTTCACGCTGTACCGCGTGCTGGCCAAGAACAAGTGAGAGCTGCTCTGCGCCCCGTCCTTCCTGTGCCACCAGCTCCCTGTCCTGAACCATGCCCCATGAGGGCCCGCTGCTCCCTGGTGGGAAATCCTCCTCCCCCAGCCTCAATTGCAGGATCAGAGAAGCCAGAGTTCCCAGCACCAGCAGGATCGATCCTTAGCACCAGCCAGCCTCGCCCCACTGGTCCCCAGGCACCTTGCCTGTGTGGCAGCTGGGGGGCTCCTCCCTGGAAGCCAAAGGGATCACTCCCTTCTTTTATTCTGTTAATGATTTTTTAACGTTTGTTTTTATGTTCAAACACGAGCGTTTATCTGTCCATGGGCTGGGCACATCCCTTCTGCAGGGTGATGCTCCTGGAGCTGTGAGGGCCTCCAGCAGTGCCAGCACTGAGGCTGTCAGGATTTCTGCCTGCTGCAGCAGTGCTGGGCAGCTTCGGCCCCATAAGGCACACTCCCATCCTGAGTCCCTGTTTCCCAATACCACCCCATCTGGATTTTGGCCCATCTGCCCTCCTCTCCTACCTGCTCGTGCGTCCCTTCCCTCTCCTCCACAACCAGTATTCCCAGTGCCAGAGAGCACTACATGGGCTGAGGATGCCCTTGCCTGGCAGTGCCATCATGTGGTCCTTGTCCTGCCGTTCCCTCTGCGGGTCCCTACCAGAGCAGGAGGCTCTGAGCATCGCACCTCCTGGTACAACTGGAAGCTGTTTTCCCTCCATGCCCACCTCCAGCCAGTTGGCATTTCAGCCAGCATGAGTTTGGGGCTGCTCCTGTTCTCAGCATCTCAAAGAATGATACCAGCCTGTGCTGTCCCTGGGAGCTCCACACTCTACTGCCCCGGGCTCCCAACCCATTTCTGCTGTGCCAGGGGGTTTCTAGTGAAATAAGTGACACTAGCTCTTAGGCTGCACTCAGGGTAGGCTTATTTACAGGCAGCTCGGGGCAGCACTGAGGGACAGCCCGCTGCTTCTGTGTCCCTTTGTCTATTTCAACTTGTACTGTGGCCTGGGGCCAGCGAGGAGTTGGAGAAGCCACCATTTGTGGGTAGCATCCTGCCATGCTGTCCCCATCCCAGCAGTGGCACTGTCCCTAACGCTGGCTCTGTCCGGAGCTGCTTTTGCCAGCCTGGGGTTCTCCACTGCTACCCACCCACAGGGCCGTGTCCTTGGGCTTTTCATCCCTGTTCTGTCCTGCTGCCTGCCTGGAGTGTGTCTGTGGGGCAGAGCCCTGGAGCACAGGGATGTCCCTGCGCCCTGCATTGCTCCAGGCCTGGCACAGCTGTGCTGTTTTAGTTTTGTTCTCTACAATGAAATAAATTTTTACTCACCTTCCGTTCACAGCCCGTGTCTCTGTGCTGTCCTTGCTCTGGTTGGGGTCCCCACAGCAGGGAGGAGTCCTGAGGGCTGTCCACCCATCTGGGGAAAATTATGGGGATTTGGGGTGCAAACAGAAGCCTGGTTTCTGGATGAGGCCCTGGCCCTGCTTTCCAGCACTCAGCACTGTGCCACCTCCCTTCCTGCTCCCGTTTCCCAGTGGCAGCTTTTCCCTCGCCCATTTCTGTCTCTGCAGGCTCCATCACAGGCTCTGGATACCAGGAACGCGGTCTCAGTGCAGGAAAGGGATTTTCCCTGTACCTCTCCAGGGTCTTACAGCGGCCCCAGGGATGGCTAAACCCCACAGAGCATCTCTCCCATGGGATGTGGTCCCGGGGAGCTGCTGCCTGTGCTCAGGGGCTGGATGGGGGCAGATACAAGGGATCCTTTCAGGGCAGAGCAGGGTCCCCAGGGTGGGAGGGTATGGAGATGGATCATCTGGCAGGCAGCTGGGCCAGATGCAGCATCTACCCAGCGCTGGGATGCTGGAATCCATACTGGGATGCAGATACTTGCACCTGGATGCAGGTTCCTGGACAATGCTACAGATCCTGATACTGGAATTCACATGCTCATACCAGGACGTTCGTTCTAGTGCTGGGATGCACAAACCAGGATGCACATACCTGTACTGAGATGCAGGTTTCAATACCAGGGTGCAAATTCCTGTAGAAAAATGTACGTAGCCATACTGGGATGCTGGTAACATGCTGGGATGGACACTCTCACACTGGGATGCACAACCTGTACTGGGATGCACATACCTGTACCTGTACCAGCACCAGGATGCTGGTATCCATGCTGCAATGCTGATACCCACACTGGGATGCTGGTACCCATATTGGGATGCTGGTACACATGCTGGGATGCTGGTACCCATATTGGGATGCTGGTACATGTACTGGGATGCTGGTACCCATGCTGGAATGCTGGTACACATGCTGGGATGCTGGTACCCATATTGGGATGCTTGGTACCCATATT